CTTCTATGCGCTTCATAATAGAGAAAACGGCCTCTCTTTCCTTTCCTTCTTTACATCGTACGGCCCAAATACTAGGATCGTCAACACTTGGAAGTAAAAGACGCTTTGGAACGACCGCTGAGTCTCCGGTGCCTCTTGATGATCGACCCTTGTTCGCATATCGTTGTCGTAGAATTTCTGCTTGCTTTTCCGCATCAAGACTCGCCTCCATTTCGCGTCTCCTATCTAAATCTCGGTGACGCCTGTCATCTGTCTCACCACCATCTGGAAGGTCTGCCATATCATCCGGGTGTGTGTCTGCAATGAAAGTGTGATTCATTTCGTTCAATTCATCCTCGTCATCCTCATTCTCATCCTCATCTTCATCTACTTCGGCTTCGACATCGAGGAAAACATTGCGACGGTCTCTACGGCGCTTGCGGCGGTGTCCCTACGCTTTGCGGTTAGAAAAAATGTTGGTCACTGCATTGTGGGCGAACAGGAATTGTATACGCAGCTCAGAAATGCTTACCGTAATTTCCTCTTCATCATCCTCTTCTTCTTCTTCCTCATCGTCATCATCATTAGCACCTCCACCGATGTCTTCTCCCTCGCCTTCATCATCTTCGTCTTCATCGTCATGAGCACCACCCGACCCGTGTTTTCTACCACTCGAGGGGGCTGCTTCATCATCGGAGCCATCTTCATCCCCTACTTGATGACGCGAAGCTTCATTTTGTCTTTGCGCGCTGATTGTGTTGTTTCCTTCATCTTCGTTGTCTGAAAGATCCGCAGGTTGGGGATTGAAATTGTCGTCCTCTTCGTCGCTTTCATCAAAGGAATTACCCAATAAATTCGAGGTAGACATTTTAATACAAAGGTTGAAAGAAGAAAATGTGCATTCGAAGAGGGAAATGGGAGGTATTTGTAGATTTTTTTCAAGAAGACAAATCTCAAGGTCAATGGATAAAGTATATAAGGCAAGGCAAGCTAACCTTTGTTCAAAATGGCCTCAGCCTTCCGACCAGTAGTGGGACTAACTTATCTAGGGATAGACCCGAATTACCTAAGCCAATGAGACTGTACCAGTCTCGAGCCAGCGTACTGCTCGAAGACTTTGGTTGTACAGTTCTTTTTCAAGATCTTATTCAATAAAATTGATTGTAGTGTAGAATTACATTGGAATGAATTATTCGAGGAAAACTTGCCTATAAGATGAAAGGGATTCAACTATCTTTTGAGGCTTTTTGGCGGAAAAGTAGGGTTAGGAGGTGCGAGATGTTATTGATATTCTAATTAGCATTGCTATTGGCTGATCAATTGAAGAACTTCTTATGCCCATCCTTATATCTATATTAATTAGGGGCTTACTACTGGGAATTCAAAGGCGACTAAAGGGAACTCGTGAATACTCTCCTGTGGATGACTGCTAAGTTTTAAATTGTGTGTGCAAGTTGAGTTGATAGGATGTAAATATAAATTTATGCTGCTGATCCTACTGACACCCAACTTATTTTCCTCTGATCCTGAATTGAACTATACAGAAAGACTCGATATTCGAGGTCAAACCAATAAAAACTCTCCTTACACACAGGCATCTCAGTCCTTCTTTGTAGCATCTCTAAGGATGTACCATTGGTTCGTCCATGAACTTTCAAGATATCTTCGCTAGCATTCGAATTATCTTTCAAATACAAGACTTGCATCCTGTTCTAAGAAAAATCGATGTATTTTGATTTCAGTCTTGAATCTAATCACTAGGGCGTGCACGGCATTGCGAGCTCATGGGTTCAGCGTATACCCAGGCTCACACTTCTCATGGGCTTGTGGTAGACATTAGAATCTCGAATTTCTCGCAGGACCGCCATTCATATACATGGACTCGAGTTGCCTGGTACCGTGTTTCAATGCCGAAAGGTAATCGATACTTGCCCAGTGAGCATATTCATGGCAAGAAAGTTGATTTATATTCTTGATCACTGTGGAGCTAGTCAGGCTAGTCATGATTGAGGATGTTGTAGAGGATGCAGGGCTGTGTTTACAATCACCTCGGACAATTGCGTGCGTATATTGCAATATCAGGCGAACATTTGGTTGTTGAAGTTATAGTTTTGGCCATACGACTTACTCGTAATTGTAAATTTAAGTGACCAGTCACCTCACTCCTATCATACATAAGCTCCGATGAGTATAAAATCATGAATACTCGGATATTGTAGATGCAATCTCCAGGAAACCGAACTCCAGGCTTTGACATGCGATAATGCTACGCTCCGTTCTAATAGCCGACCTGAAAGCTCATCATAATTCATCACAGTTTCACACCCCAGATACCTCTTCCTCCACTTACTCCGAGCCAATCGCCGTTCTCGTTATTGTTCAAGTTGCTTCGAGGCGCCCAGCTAATATTTCCCACTTCGTAATCACATTGCCAACTGGCAGTGGGTCCTCGAGAATTATCAGATACTGGTGCACCATTCATGCTAGGACCAACAGGAGGGGCAGTGTTGGGACTCAGTAGGTCCCAAATAAGAACCAAAGAATCATCAGCTCCAGAAGCAAGAGTACCTCTCCTGTTTGGAGACCATTCTATGCAGTTTATGGATGAGGAATGCCCCTGAAGTTCAAGGAGTGCTTGACCAGGCTGTCTAACATCCAAAATACGAATAATGTTGGAATCTTGTGAGAATGTAGCGAGGAGATGGGTATCATGTGGCGACGCTGCTAGTCGTAGTAAAGGGGGTGCATAGGACATAGTTTGCTGGGCTAAAGTTGGACTTATTCTGCCACCACCAGGACTCGTATCTATGAGTGCAATTAGTAAAATGCCTAACATTGGCTTCATAAATCGTACCTTTATCATCCTTTGTAGTTGGCTCATAAATGATGGTACTGTGCTCTAAACTTCGGAGGTCAAACATTCTCACACTTCCATCAGCTCCACAGCTAACAAAAACATCCACGCTGTTTGCGCAAAATCTGACATCGAAGACTTCTTTGTCATGTGCAATCAGTTGTGTCTTGGCAGTCAATGTGGGAATATCCCATATGGTGCATGTCGTATCTATGCTTGAAGTAATGATTAAACTAGGCGAGACAGTGTTCCAATCCAAGGAGGTCAGAGGTGCAGTATGTTCTGGTGTTTTTGAGTTAGATAGCAAGGCTAGTGGCGTAAGTTTGCTAGGAGGTAGGTCTCGACCGGAATTAGAAGTGCGTCCTCCGATAGTGTTGTTTGCCGATGCGACTGGAGTTTCAGATGGGAGCGACCACAACCTCAAATGGTCACCCGAAGTAGCTAGTAGATCTGTAGATTGCTTTTGCGATGATGGTGGTTCCCATAAGAGGCGAGTTACAGGATATGAATGTGTGGCTTCGGCAACCTTCGTAAATTCAAGTCCATATTTTGGGGCTCCAGGTACATAGGATTCAGATTGGGTGGGAACGATATGGGAATCAAGGATTTGAATCTAATAATTAATATCAGCACTGATTTATCTGCTTAAGGCTCAAAGTGAAATCAATAAACTTACAAAGTTATGTCCGTCTTCTAGATAACTTCCTATTGCGACCTTCCCGGCATCGTTGTTTTGCGCTGGCCATTTACACCAGTCGAATGCATATAGAGCCCACGGCGCGAGGTAGTTGCTGTTGGTAGGTGCTGCGCTGGTACCATCATATGAATATGGATTGGCCCCAGGTAAGCCCTCGGCAAGTGTTGAATCGGTACGCGGTCGAATGTCTGCAAGCCCAAGAGGAGTATTGGATACGGTTCTCTGGGAGCCTTGTGGTGTATATTTTTGTGTATTTTGCTCAGACCCGCCCGGTGTGGTTGCTTGAAATGTTGCAAAACCTTGACTATCAAATCCTGCCGCTGGGCTAGATCGAGTGTAATTATGCGAAAGACCTGCGGATCGTGAGGGGGTTGAATATTGATCTTGCGATATCGTGGGTATTGAAGGGGCTGTATTTGTCGAAGTCACACCTGGTCTTCCTGGTTGTAGAGTACCTGGAAGTGGTGCTGCATTTGAATATTGGGATGAATCGGGAGTGGCTTGCTCTAAAGTCATACGTGGACCACTTGCACCGTAATCTCTTGGAGATAAAGCACCTCGTTGCGCAGACATATTTGAATGCAGCTCGTCGGCGTGTCGAGCTCGCCTTGGTGTTTCGTATTGTTGAGACTGTTGATTCATTGATGTATTGTTGGAAGTGGTCGTCATGGAAGAATTTGGATGGGGTAAACCATATGTTGTTGGTGGTGGTGGTGCAGATTGTCCTGTGGCAGAGCTAGACAATGAAGGCATACCAAAAGTACCTAGATTTGCTGCGGCTTGTAATATACCTCCCGAAGTCGAATGTCCCGGTAAAGCATTTTGTTGCGATGAAGACGATCGAGAGTTTGAGTGAATATTAAAAGAATCGAAAGGCATGGCGCAGGCGCAGGGAATAAATTACCTATTCAATGTCAAATGTCAGACAATTGAGTGGCTGCTTGCTCCCTTCCCCTACATTCAACAACAAAAGTGGCAGTAGTAGTAATAACAATGATAACAACAACAAGACTGACTGCCCAATCTGATGGAGTTTCGGAATGAGAAAGTGGGAGAATTAAGGTTGGAAGTTATATCATTGGTATGAAAGTATGGAGGTACCCAGGAAGGTATGTACTTTGTAAGGTTATGGTGGCATGGCTGATGGGGCTTTTGATTTGATTAGGCCATTAGCAGCCAAAGTTTATGGCATTGGTGGACACAACAGAGCCTAACATCACATCTGATAAGGCTGGGCTAAAAATTACCCCTCGAAGCCTGTATGGAGTGATTGACTGACTTATTATTATTTGTTTGCTTGTATTCAACTCGTGGATGCATTCACAAACTACCTACACAAACAACCCTCTTCCTATTACCTTGTTCTCTCATACACGCAGCCTTGCACTCACATTTCCATTCGATCCTGATATCAGATCTAGATTGATTTAATAAGTCTCAGTGTGTCGGCGAGATACCTAGTTGGCGATCATGTCACAATCCCTACTTTTGCTCCCTCAACACCCCGCACCAGCTATACCAGCAACTCTCAGTGCTGCATACTCTTCATCATTATCAGCGGTACTTTCGAGTCTTAAAACTTCATCGTCAAGTACCAAGCTTATAATTGCACTTGCCTCGTCAAGTTTCAAGGATCGGTTGAAGGAACCAAGATCTCAAATTTACAATGAGGTGGAGAGGCTACTGGGTGGTCTGTACAGCTTGATCTGTTCCATATGTGCCAAGGAAGATATTGATATTACATCCAAGTTACCTGGCGCTGTGGATTTTCGCATCGTTTTATTGGACTATGATTCTACACGCTTTTCCACTAACAAGAATTCTGGGCGTGATGCCAGTCTTGGGGTTTTGGCTGGCGGTCCTATCGTTGGACTTCCTCTCTTCGCAAGTACTCGACGCCAATGGAGCAAAATATTTTCAGTGCAAGGCGAGGAAGGACAAAATTTGCTTCGAGACTTTCTACATTGCGCAAATGGGATTAGTCCTCCTTTACGTGCAGAATTTCAAATGGTCAGTGGTGGAGTGAGCATGATTCAAAATACTCTACAGTCTGTACAACCAAATTCTTCTGCCTCCCATACTGTGGTGGCAGTTGGTGGCACGTTTGATCATCTTCATGCGGGCCACAAACTTCTGCTTACAGCTACGGCACTTTTATTACAACCAGCCGCCGGCCTTCAGGACGCTTCCCGGAGATTGATCATCGGTATCACAGGGGACGAATTGCTGAAGAATAAAAAATATGCCGATCACTTGCAGAGTTGGGAGGAACGACAAAATGACGTCGTTGAATTCCTCATATCGATTCTTTCTTTCACGCAGACTAGTCAGGAGGAAGCAATTCAAACATTTCCATTGGAAATTTCAAATGGTCGAGCAACACATACCAAACTCAATGCTTGCTCGATCACTATCGAGTGTGTTGAAATTCAAGATGCTTATGGGCCAACTATTACGGATGAATCCGTTACCGCACTCGTTGTGTCTGGAGAAACTAGGTCGGGCGGACAAGCAGTGAATGATAAAAGAGTCGAGAAGGGCTGGAAGGCACTAGAAGTTTATGAAGTCGATGTGCTCGATGCGCAAGCTGGTCTCGAGGCGACTCCTACATCAGACTTTGCTTCGAAAATCAGTAGTACTGCAATAAGAAAGCAGATGGCGGATCGCGCCCGGACATCGTCACTCTAATCAAAACTTTACCTCGCGAGATCTCGTTCTGCATAGATAGCCCAGCTTGGCCGGGGCCTATATTAAGGAGAAGGATGAATACAGTACTACTGTTGTCGGAAATAACGTTGTAGAGTGATGTCTTCAGTGCAGAATTTCTCGACCCAATATTGAGCCTGCTGTGCCGTCACAATATGCACGTCATTTGCAGAAATACAGAGTTCATGCATAGGAATCACCATCCGACAGGGTTCATCGTCTCATCTCTTCCCGCTTCACTTTGTCTGGAACGTAGCTTTCAATATTGATTCAACGTATTAATGGCGTCTGGGTATCGATGCCCACGACTACGACCTTATAGTACCATTTCCATGATTCAACAACGCCTAGAAACCATGCTGACGAGGGACTTTCCAATTAAGCAACCGGATGGAACATCCATTGGACTCTATTTTATCAAGCCGCGGAGAATTATATAATGAAAGCTGGTCCTTCAGACATCTCTCCTCGTGTGGTGCAATGGAGTTGAGTTATGCGGGGACTCTTGAATTAAGCGCCCATCATCCAATCATATTTCTCTCACAAATGCACAGGTTCACAGATGCATAGGTTCAAATGAATTCAAGCCTTTTTCCAATAATTGTGGAAGGATCTATCCACACTAAAAAGAGCAAATCAGCGTCTCTACTGGACTAGGTTTATTATCGAATATGTATTAAATTCGACAGAAATGGTTGAGAGTTGCATTCACTTGCCTTCAGTTACATTCTACATTAACAAGCCGTTCGTTCTCAATTTTCGATCCATGTTTCGCCTTGAGACTAGGTCATGGGCATAATAAGCAAGCAAGAACCACCCTTTTAACCCTTTAACCATTGGGTTAATACATTTTTATTTCTTTTTATCGGTCTAATTTGTCCTTCATTTATCTGACGAACCATCTAATCGTATGCATCGCACTTTCTGTCCATCTACATTTGAGATGTCGGAAAATTAGATAAGTTTATCTAATTTGTCTGCATCGTAGTTTATCATCTTGTCTAGACACCTACCCGTGCTAGGGCCTGAGGACCACAACCATCGTGTTCTGACCCGTAATTCGTTCGCTATACAATAATCAGGACGATCCATTACTCCGCTGACCTACGATTCGTTGTCATTCCATGCAGCCATGAATGGGCGAATCCTTGTAGTAAATCTGTATCTTTTCCTGTATCAAATTATATCAATTACACCCTTTCAATATTCATCCTTTCATACTTGATTGGTTTTTATCCAAGATCACATGATTGTATTTGCACCGAACGATCGGTAACCCACAAGCCGCTGCAGCAAGGCCATGAAATCATTCTGACCAACCAAACCCAAAACAAGCAATATATCTGCATGACAATAAAATTCTAATAAATATCTGAGGAGGGATCCATCCACACACATTTGTCCGTTGAAATATCCCTCGAGTGATCCCTCGAAACGCATCGACACGTCAGAAATCATAAAACCTGGCTGCTAGACGTTGAAATCGAATTTCATACATAGAGTGCCGGCACTCAATTTCACCCACTATGATGTAACAATCTGATATACATTCATTATTTCTAGTTATATCCTTGCATATTCTCCGAATAACCTCAAGAACATTCTACCCCAATACGCTCGTTATGTGAGGTAAGACTGCATAGATCATATTAAAATTTTCTAATAAGTCATTCTAGAAAAAAGTGCTCTTCGTCCAGTCATCACATTTGTACTCCTCGAGATGGACGATTTGAAATCTATTGAGAGACTTCCAGATGATATCCTTTCTCGAATCTTTTTGCAATTACTTTACGAAGATTTTAATGAAAGACCGCCTTCTTGGAATCCATGGACTCAATCGCCACACGTGCTCAACTTCTGCTTGACGCAGAGGAGATTTCACAGAGCATATTCCTTATGTAAATCGCGAACGCCTAAATCCAAGCTTACACCTATATTCAAACTCTCGAATGAGGTTCTAGAGAACATCCTTGAATATCTGGTTCATAATTCTGGGAAATTGATTCCCATTGACCATAGAGCCTCTCTAAGTGTAGAGAGTTTTCAATCTATGCCACCACAATCCTTAGAGGATACAAACATTACCACAACTCTTGTATGGATCTTTTTATTCGTTATTAATCCCCAATTACATCTCTAACGACAAGGTTATCAGAGCCGTACATGCAGGAAATTCTACAGTTTGTTATTAGGAAGACAGTTTGCCCGTGTCTCCATTCGATGCTCCGATGCTGGTTTCAATCGGTTACGATTCTTGATAGAAGAGCGTCCTCATTTAGCTGAACATGTCAAGAAGTTCTCTTACATGATTCCTGTTTTTTACCATCGAGGTATTTTCTGGTCTTACCTATTATTTTGAAGAACCGCTAACCCGTTTAAAGGTCTAAGTCAACTTCAGATTTTATTCGATGAGACACACGCGGCGACAGTTGATCTCGAGAGACAAGTGAATCTTAAACAAGTAAATGGCAACGCACGTCAAGTCGATAGATCTCGACCATCGCTTAAGCAGCTTCGAACAAAGCTTGATCGCAGTCGCAAGGATGAGCTCACTATTTTTCGAGTATTATCACGAGCACGTGAACAGTCTACCATCATCAATAATAGGATTGATGTACAGAGTCTACTACGTGCCTTTCGATTGTTCAAGCATCTTCAACAAATTCGCCTGATGAGAGTTCAAGATAGAGTAGATATGGATTGGTCTTCCTTCCTCCGAGAAAGACGCTGGATCGCCTTTTCTCAAAATAACAACAATAACAACAATATCACCGACCCAATTCTATCTCTCGATCTCGACCCGCTGGAATGGACAGCTGCATGCGAACATTCCGCCCGGGCTCTCGGCTACGCATTTCTTGAGTCCGAATCCCCCGCAACGCGCTTCTCATCCCGTTTCGTCAATCCGCGTATTCCATTTCTCCTAAATTCACATTCCCATAACACAATATCCACTCTGGCAAATAGACTTACTTGTTTAGAAATTCAAATACAGGAACCGTCGGATGATAAAATGTATCAACTTTCAGCTCTCTTCAACACGTTCTTCACTTCAGCTCATCAGATTCAGGGTCTTCATGTGGGATTCCCGTCTAATAGACCACTTGCTCATGTACCCCTCGAAGCGGTTTTTCATAATGTCACCTGGGAGAATCTGAGATATTTAGGGTTTGGAGCATGGCATTTGGATAGTGAGGAGATTATCGGTTTGCTCAGGAGACATAAATATACATTGAGGAGCGTGAGACTCAGAAGTGTAAAATTGAAAGAGGGGAGTAGTTGGATTGAAGTCGTGCGGATGTTAAGGAGAGAGCTGCGGGAATTGAAGTGGGTTAGCTTGAGAGGGATTGGATATGTAGGGGGAGGTACAAATGGAATCGGTAATGGAGTCGGAGGGGTAGGCGGAATTGGCATTGGAATGGGAGCCGGAAACCAGGGAAATAATCCCATTATCAATAACCCCATCGATGCAGACATGGATCTCGACGACTCGAGCGGCGAGAGCGACGAGGAAGTAGATTTCGAAGATACAGCGATTGGAGATCGTACGTTGAGTCATCATAGTAGTTCGGTGCATTTACCTTCTTCTTCTGCGTCTGCTTCGTCGAATAAGGAGAGGGGGGTGGAGGTGGGGGAGAGGGATAGGGACAGGAGAGGAGAGCACAATGGGGAGCGGGGAGTGGGGCAAGAAGAAATGAATTGTGAGTGTGCGGATGGGTATGCGATGGGGGATTTGGGAGAGCAGGGCAGCGAGGTCGTGTTGAAGCAGCATTGGAAGTTTTGGGAGTTGTGGGCGGTGAAGAGGTGTGCGGTGCATGATGGGATGGGATGAGGAGGGAAATTGGGATGGGTTGGTCAGGGTGGATGGAATGTATCGGATTGGATTGGGGTGAGATGAAATAGGATTGGTGGGAGTACGTACGTATGTACCTATGTATGTATGTATGTACCTATGTACCTATGTATCTATGTATAGGACCGGAACCGGGCTTTGGATTTGGAACTGGGAAATTGGGTTGGATTTTTGCATTTTTAAATTTTCAAGAAATTAAGTCAAGTTGAGTTAAATTAAGTTGGGTGAAGAATCTTTTTAATAGGGTGATGGGAAGGGAAGGGGTGAGATGGGATGGGATGGAATGGGATCAATCTCTATATATATACAGTACAACATATCTCTTTCATCTCCTCTGATCTCTACACTCGAGTATTTCTGAAAAATTCATCGAGGATGGGGAATGATGTGGGATTTGCGAAAAGCGTATATTATATATATATGTGTGTGTATGTAATTCATGCATTCATTCAATCATTCATAATCGACTTTACGCAATCTCTTGATAAAAGAAAAGAAACCCCCATGGTATCAATAGTACATGTATCCTCAACCCTAACCATATTACCACTCCATCTCCAACTCCAACTCCAACCAATCAAAACCCCTCATGATCCGTATCATTCTCCTCATCCTCTCTACTATGCCCCACCATCAACTCCCTCAGGTGTTTTTCCTCGTCACTTTCTTCCACATCCGCATCCGCATCCGCATCTACATCCCCACCCTCTCTATCCACACTAACTCTCCCCTCTCCCAACATCCCCCCTTCCCTTCTCTCCTGCCTTGCGAATTCCGCCTGCAATTCTTTCAACCCATCATCATCAGTCGTTGATTCTCCATCTCTCGAGTGAGTAGTTCTCAATTCCATATCTGTATCGATACTTCTCTCATCATTATCTCCCTTCAATTCCGCCTTCTCAATATCAATATCACGACCATAATCATAATCATCACTATGATCTCCTCCCCCCATACTCCCCAACGCCTCTCTCAAAATTTCCTCTCCCTGTTTAAAAGCCTGCAATTCCGCACCCACAGCCACAACCAACAAATTCCAGCGTTTGCTCTCCGCCACTCTTTCCGTTTCAGCCAACTTTCCTATCACCGTCTTCATTTTTCCGATTTGCATCTTTAATCCCTCTACATCTCCCACTTTTCCGCTCTTCATATTCTCTCTCAATTCATCCTCAAAGTTCACAACTGTCTTTACGGATTCCTCCCAGAGCTTTGCTCCATCTTCTAGGGCTTCTTTTTCCTTTTGCACCTCCAGTTTTCGGGCTTGCAAAGAATTAATCTCTTTACTCCACCATTCCTCTGCCATTTCTAATGTGCGTCGTTTGGGTGGCAGTGCCATGAATCCTTCTTCATTCCCCATACTAATCGATACCATAGTCGGCGGTCTCGTCAAGAATTCCTGAACTTCTGATTCCACTTCCCTCAACGCACCACGATAACTAGACAATCGCGATTCTCTCTGATTGACTCTTTCATTAATTCGGTCTGCCAGCCAGCTCCGTCTGGCTTTCATTTGTAACAACCTATCTTCCGTCTCTCGGATTTCGTTTTCGACAGCCCGTTCTTCAGTTCGTAGTTCGGCTATCTCTCGATCTTCTTCGGATTTGCTTGCACGAGGAGATTGATGACTTTCTTCATTCGGTGAAGAGACTCTATTATTTGTTATGTCTGCTGAGACGAATTCGCCAATTTCTCTCTTAACCTCGTCGATTCTGATCTTCCAATCTTTCGTCTTTGCAATACACATTTCTCTCCTCTTGATTTCTTCCGTTAACAATTCTCCTTCCTCAACTTTAACACCTGCCAACAGACCCATATTCCTCAACAGCCCTTTCCTCGATCCTCTTAGTCCGACCGACTTTCTCTTTGGCTGTCGAACAGGAATTGTACGCATATGAGCTCCTTCTGTACTTCTACCTCCCTGCCTATCTCTATCCCGTTGTAATGACCTTGTCGTAGGCGTGCTACTTCCACTGTGCTCTTCTCTATTGCCACCTCCACCGAATCCTTGCATCAAACCCTCACTCTGCGCATCGAGCAACATTTGTAATTCCGCCTGCAAAGCTCGCTCTCTCCTTTCCAACCCCAAAAGACTGTCATTTTGCGCCGAGCTTCCCACAGCACTCCCCACACTTTTCAATATTCCAATTCCTCTTCCTTCCCGAACCACGCTCCCTCTCAAATGAGAACTTCCACTCCCATCCAAACTCCTCCCAATATTACCCAACCCAGCAACACTCCCTACAATCGGTGGTGGAGGAGCGGCAAATTGTATTCTCCTTCCCTTCGCCTTCCCATTGCCTTTAAATTTACTCGCAGATCCCGATTCCGAGATTGGTCTCGGAGAAAGTGTTCTCGCACTCGCACTAGTAGGTGACCTCATATCCCTATAGAATTCTGGCGGTGGACTCGGTGTAGCTCTCGATGCTGAAGGGGAAGAGAGGTCTTGCAGATGAACATCATTATGCGGATCATATACACTTGACAGAAGAGGATGATTTTGATCATTTGTTCCTGAAGAGTTGCTAAAGAATGAGTTACGGGAGCGGGACATTTTGTTTTCGAGATTTGAGCCCTTTCTTTTGTTGATATCTGATGTTTTGGTATTACGAAGATTTGTAACTTCTTGAACGGTTAAAGAATCGTCTAGAGGATATCTTATAGGATTAACATGTATTCGCTACCACCGCTGTGATGTGATGTGATGGATTCGATTGTGAGAGCCGTAGCTATAAGCTGGCTTCGAACGGAGAAATGTAAGAGTATTAGAATGGGAAACGCAATAGAATTGGAACAGCTGCGATTACTTAGTTAAAGTTGCAGACCACTATCTGAAATGATATGAGCACATGCATAAATGTGAATCAAGCTGGATAAACAGGATTGCCAGTTTGAATCATTGAGTATATAATATCTAGACAAGTAGCAGTGGCTTCTATCACATGCGACAGGCACAAGATGCGGAGATCAGCCTCGTTGGGGACGTGCACGAAGACGAGGCTGAACGCAAGCAAGGCCATAATTTTCGACTGTGTCGGCGCTCTTTACAATCAAATTCAAGTGTGGGATTTCAAGAGTATTGTATAAGTCTGTCTTATGTTAAATCATCATGCTTGTTTTTTTTTAAACTTCGGAGCCCAAGAATTGCGTAGCTTCGAAGAAAGCTCAAAGGAATGGGGATATCTCGTTATCAAAGTATCACTCTCGTCGGACGAACCATAGAATGTCATAAAAATCACATTTTGAGGCGGTAAAGCATTTGGTATTCTTCTATAAACAAGGCAGTACATTCTGTACGTTTGCACCCAATCCGTGACCTTCTGGTTTGTTTGTTCTTCATTATCATAACCATTTTAAGCATGAAGGAATGGTAAAACTAATTACGGTACGAACTCGAGAGGCCGTATAAAGCATCGAAGCTTGGTTCGATGCGAAGTGAGGTTCGGGTATATCGTTTCTATAGATGAACTCAAGTTCATGATGGTATTATTTCAAGTTGTTCCCTTGCTATTTAGATTTGCTCTAAGCCAAGGTTCTCTGGCTCAGCCTTGATGACACGGAGACTAGAAAAAAAGGTTAGCGAAGATTTAGAATGAATTTGGCATGATCAAAACTTACGTGTTGGTGTTACCCATACCACCCTTCCATCCTTGAACAACGACGACACTCTCACCTTGAGCCAATACCTTAAGCTTGAGAGCCTCAGCAATACCCCACTTGATTCTTCTGTCGACATCCTCTTGCCAGTTAACCTTGGAAAAGTCTGGCTTCTCCTCAGCAAAGTGGAAAGGATAGACACCACGATACAAGTGACCGTATCTGGATGCACTGGCATTTCGGGTAACCATGAAGATAGGGCAGACTGGTCTGTACTTGGAGAGAAGACGTGCGCTGTCTCCGCTGGTGGACAAAACGATGATAGCACCTGCATTGATGTCCAAACTGGCACGGACTGCTGCCATGGCACACGATTCGACAACACTGACTGGTCGTTCGGTAAGGTTGCAAAGCTCCTCGAAGTGAGAAACGTATGCGATGGAGTTCTCAGCCTTCAAACAAGTTTCGTGCATCTCGGTGACAGCCTCGTTAGGATAGCTTCCCTTAGCAGTCTCTCCAGATAACATAACACAGTCAGCGCCATCAGTAACGGCGTTACCAACGTCACTGATCTCAGCACGAGTTGGTCTTGGGTTGTAGATCATGGACTCGAGCATTTGAGTAGCACAGATGACTGGCTTACCAGCCATGTTGCACATTGCAATCATCTTCTTTTGAGCAGCGAAAACCTCAGCTGCTGGGATCTCGATACCCAAATCACCACGAGCAACCATGACACCATCAGTCTCCTTCAAGATCTCAGGGAAGTTGTTAAGACCTTGTCTGTTCTCAATCTTGGCAATGATTTGAATGTGCTTTCCATCTTCACCGAGAACCTTACGGATTGACTTGATGTCCTCACCACGACGGATGAAGGAGGCGAAGACCATGTCGACGTTGTTCTTGACACCAAATCTCAAATCGGCTTGATCCTTCTCGGACAAAGCTGGAAGATCGACATCAGTGTTTGGGAGGTTGACACCCTTCTTGGAAGAGATCTTTCCGTTGTTTCTTGCGCGGCAACGAATGGTCTTCTCGTCAACAATCTCCAAAACATCGAAAGCAAGGACACCATCGTCAACATAGATGATGCGTCCTGGTTCGATGACCTTGGTGATGTTCTTGTAGTCAACGTACCTGAAAAGCGTCGGAATAGATTAGCGTTGGATACTCTTATGATGAAATGTTTGTTGTAAATTATACGTACATGTTCTTCTCGTCACAAGCAGTGGCATACTTGTCATCGGTTGTAATGTTGATCTCTGATCCAGCAGAGATAGGGATATCAGCATCACCAACTGTGTTACCAGTTCTGATTTCTGGACCCTTGGTATCTAAAGCAATGGCGAGTTGACGTCCTGGTTGAACCTTCTCGGCTTCACGGGCATTGTCGATAACGGATTGATGGTATTCGTATGAACCGTGGGAAAAGTTCATGCGGACAACATTGAGACCAGCCACACGGAGCTTGTTGAGAGCTTCGACAGAGTTGGTTTTAGGACCGATAGTACAGATGATAGAAGTACGGCGATAGTTCTTGGTAGGCTTGAACTCAGTGTTGAGATTTGCCAACCAAGCAATCTTGGAGGTTCCAGTAACTAAGTGATCCATTGCGGTGGCCATTTTGTAAAATTATCAAGAGGGAGGTTGAGGGAGAGGAATATGTAGGTAGAATTCGATGTGGTGGGGGTAAGTGCAACTGTTAAAAAGCCTTTTTTTTTCAATTCGTCAGTTTAAATGTGAGCAATCGAATTAGGAAAATGCAGGAAAAAGGTTGAATGAAATGCTCTTGACAGGTACAGAAAAAGAAACAAAAAGTATTGAAATATGCAGAGAGAGGAAAAGGAAGTGTATTATTAGTTTGGTGTTGTGCCGTGTTTCTGCCAATCTGTTGGCTGGATTAAAAGACACGGACAACGATAAAACAGCCCAAGAATGCCAATATTTGAATTGTTGAGCTGAGATCCAATACAAAGCACAAGGGGTCACCAATCCCCCGAAGTATATTAATGATAGCGGCATACAGAGGGATAGGAAGGGGAGAGAAAGGGAAATAAAATGATAAACTTACCAGTTGACAAGATGTTGAGTTGGGTGGAAGAAGAGGAAGAAGAAGAACAAGAACGAATAGAATATAATCTAACGACCTTGTGGTTGTGTTGAGAAGCTTTTATGGTTGAAGGAGCTTGGAGGGGAGAGGAGGGGGAATCTTCCTTTTTTTGCAAAAAATCTAATCGACTCCCCCTCATCTCCAAGCTAGCCATCTCACCCACTATGTTTATCCCACTTCGAAGATTTGCCTGGTGTGAAACCCCACATCAATCTGTTTGAGGTGACATTGGAGTGAAGGGTCCAGCGAGATACCGGCCGGTAGGTCCGTGATAGTGAATTTTTGAATTTCTATGTCAAATATCTTTTAGGTATTGGTGTACCTGGGGTCTTGGGAGGTGGCTATTTGGCTCGCCATGCAATTGTTTCGAGTGAATTACGCAGCAAAGGGTAAAACGATTGATAATGAATGAATTATTATTTCTCTCACCTCTCTCCCCTCTCTCCCCTCTCTTGCCTCTCTGTTCACTGATGTGTGTCTAGGTAGGTACCTAGCAGATACTTACGTGTAGATAGAGGTGGTGTGTGTGTGTGGGAACAAGTACCATCCCTTTCACACTCCTCTTTACCGACGCTCCGTGTACATTTTACCTATACATCTTCTCTCTACCTTCTCTCATGCAATGACAACTATTGAATTGTACAGGTCGGTACCTGTGTCTCGAGATCCCTTGCCCCGGATGAAACAAAATACCTTGGGCTGCCATTTGGTGAAATGCGTGTTTTGTTGTCTGCCCATTCTTTGCTTCTTTTGATACCGAAAATGGCTCGAGACTGGGCAACTCAGGTCCGATAGCAGATAGAGATGTGCGTTAGTCCAAATGAGGTACTAGTGGAGATCTTAGCTAAGTAGTAGTATCGGCCATTCTTTCGGTCCTGAATGCCAAAACTTAAAGACTAAAATGTAACAGGAACCCACCTGGGCGCCTGGACGCTCGTCGGAGTACTCCATAGTCTATCGACCGCGTCCGCTCAAGCTTCAAACTTCCGAGATTCGGCCTGGATGCCTAAGATGAAAGGCAACAACTACCTTTCTTAGTTTCTTATCCTAAGGTTCTAAGGCTCTAAGGCTCTAAGGCTCTAAGGCTCTAAGGCTCCAAGGTTTTAAGTTCTGATATCTCGTCGGTGAATATATCCGAGACTACCTATTATCCCAATCTCAAAGTCAGCTCAAATCATAACAACCTTGGAATCCAAAACAAGCAAATCATAAGCCAACCTTTTGCGCATCAAACATTTGTCGGGCTCCGGATAATTCACATTATCTTTTCCATACTATTATCTCAAGAAGCGTATAAACTTCGCCCTCCAAATCATAAATATGGTAATTAGTTGCCCCCCCTAAAGCTTTCAGGTCTTTCAGAACTTGGGAACCTAATCAGCTCAGTTCTTCCTCAATTTACTGACATTTGGACTCGCGGGAAAGCTCGGAAGACTTACTCATTATGCATTTGATGCTGTCCTATGTAACTATTCCCTCCCTCCCTCCCGGTTCTCCTTGCGGCGAAAAGGTAGAAAATATACTGACCGTTCTGGATATAGTCTCGGCATTCTTGGCTGGTATGAAGAGATCAACTGGTTTAACGTGTGTTAACCCCTATACCTTCCTTTGCGACCATGTTGCGAAATGATCAACTAGCACTACAGATGCAAATTTTGGGTTTCTTGATCTGGCGGTGTAGAAGGCTAACAATTCCCATCCTTCGGGACTCTAGACCCAGTCTTAAGAAAGATGTCACCGAAAACAAAGAAATCAACGGTTGGATCGAGAAATATCTGGGAGTTGGCGAATGGGTTATGGATACATCGGTAGCCTTTGCAGGGTCATCCGGCTTCTTCGAGAGAAAGAGATGATTGGGGCCTTCGGTGCGGATATGCGAGAAAAAGTACATGCATCTCAGATGCGCAGAGGGAATGAATTCACGGCAGATACCTTGCGATTTGGAGAACGATCGATAGGGGTCGAGATCCCATGGAGTTTTGGGCGTTTTTGTGTGGACAAGTCCGCTTGAAGGTGGCGGTATAACGACGATATGGTAAAGGTTGACGGGAGGTACTCTCTTCTCTATGAGTTAGGATGCTTTTGCAGGCAAAGGAAGAAAATGAAAATGTAGCCAGATACAGAAGATGTATTGCGAACTATGTATATTTTTCTTCAGAGGGCATCTCCACATCTTGATACCCCATGTTCCGAAGGGCCAGCCGAAAAGACCCGAAATCGAGTTTTCCTACTAGACTTTAACTATATCCTTCTCTGCCCCTCTCTACCTGGATCTCCATTACACCACACTCTCCCCTTTTCCTCTCTATTTCTATCAGATCTTCAAGATCTCTTGACCTCTCTTGGCTTTTACTTTCCTATCCCTCTTCAACAGCAAAAAAAACCTCAGTAAACGGACGTGTTTTGTCTAACTCGTTATATGTAAGGCTTACAAGTCTATATTCAGCCAATTCGGCTCAGCCCTATCATCTATGGTTATGTCTTGTAATCCACAGAAAACTGTTTCGAAACAGAAATTACATGTGAAAGGTCAATTGGGCTTTGATTTGACTGATGTTAATGGCTTCATATCTTTTTAATGCAGGTCTTGTACATGCCTATTCATTATATGCAACTTTACTTCACCAGGTACTCGTCCCGTCATTGAATACCTTGGTATTGGTAGTTAGCGATTCTTTATGGGCTACGTTCGGGAGATCTACAGGCTAGTGGGGGCGCAACAGCCTTAAACTATTCCACCTCATCATGTTCATCTTCCAATCTCGAATCCATCACAGTTTGAACATATATTCTTCGACTTTAATCATCACCACAGGAAATTGACATTGATGTCATAGTACTTTGGAGAGGTTTACTTCATTATGCCAACAGCAATTCCACTGAACTTACTCCTGGGATGAGATTGTCCATCCTCAGGAAACGCAATCGTCATGCTACCACCACCTACTTTGAGTTTCACAATTCCCTCTGTCCACGATAATCTGAATCTTGAGTGTCGTATCTACCATCCGTCAAGTCTGACACCCAACTCCATTTCACAGGTTTTACCATGGAGAAAGAAAGCTGCTATTGTTGCACATCCTTACGCTCCATTGGGAGGAAGTTACGATGATGCGGTCGTTGGTTTGATTGCTTCTACCATTTTGAATGATGGATTCATTGTGGGAACCTTCAATTTTCGGTACATATAACTACCCATCTATCATCATGTGCTTGAACTTTAGACTTACTTAATATTTCCAGTGGTGCGGGCTCCTCAAAAGGGCACACTTCATGGTCCTCCTTGCCCGAACAAAAGGATTATATATCATTTCTCGGATTCATCGTAACCTATTTGCATCACCTTTCTGTGCCATATTCATCTAGACCCTCGTCGTTTGCACAGTCTGATTCCAAACTCCACGCCCTCGCTCCTGTGCCGTCAGAACGCTTAATGCAACCTACGAATGATAGTCTTCCAGGCAGATATACCTTCGCAGGATCAGGCATTGAGAGCGATAATGCACAGCCTCTGTTACTACTTGCCGGCTACTCGTATGGATCCCTCATCACCATAAATCTCGAGCCGAGCCTTCTTGGCATGCTATCTCCTTTTCAGCAACCAGCCTCTGGCAGTCCATACGCAGACATAAGATCTCGAGCACGATTCTTAGCCACTCAACAGAATGAAACAATCGAAGCTACATATTCACTGCTTCGAGCTGGAGGTCATCGGAGAGGTCGTAGTCTTCAATCAGGAGAACAGATGGTAAATCACAAAAGTCGATTATCTAGCTCAGGAGTCAGAATGGGCGGCGATGAAGATATTAGAAGAGCTAGTCATGATATGCATGGTTCTGGAATGAGACGATCGTTTTCTGTGGATGCACCGATGAAGGTCAGAAAGAGCATGGACAAGTTCAAGTCTATTGTTCATCACGGGTCGCCAAGGAGAGGAGAGAGCCACCTTTCGTCGATTGATCCGGGCGAAGATAGTGTTATGGATGTGGGAATTCCAGAGAGATCTTCTCATGATAGAGAAGATGCCAATATCGAGCAAATTCTTGGAAGTGATTTCAAAGTTGCTTACCTACTCGTTTCCCCTTTACCTCCTGATGGCATAACCAACAATTTGGCCAGTATTGGGAGCTTCAAGTTGACTTCCCTTTTCGGAAAGCAAGGCCACAAAATAGATAACAACATCAAGTTCACAATTGATCCTACTTTGGTTATCTATGGGACCGGTGATCTTTTCGTTCAAGTTAAAACTGTCGAACGTGAGTAAAAGCCAATTGTTATGAAAAATTTGAATCAACGGGCACTGACTTTCGCTTCCAGGCTGGACTGAAAAACTGTTGAGTTTATGTAAAAGCAGAGGATCTGCGAACGGAGTAGTTTTCAGGTACGAAGAGATCGCTAATGGAGAGCACTTTTGGAGAAATCCCAAGGCTGCTAGGCAGCTGGTGGAGAAAATCAGTTTTTTTCTATCAGAGATACTGGAGTGATTTTCTTACATAGCATGATGGCATAGACTATAGATGATCAATGATAATTTTAATGCAATCACGAAAGTTCATGACAATAATCATCTTCAAGTCTCCGCCGGAATTCCCACGTCTAGTGTATGATATAATATGTGCACGCAACCAAATCGAAGAAGCGAAAAGACATCAGAGGGTCTTTGCATGTTCTGTTGAATGAACGACTTCCAAGTGGTTGTTGCAGTGGAGTAATGAGAGCTTATTGTTCTTCATCGTGAGAGTATGTGATGATTTAGTTGTGGCATATGATGAAGGGGTATACACGCTATTCATCAAGTGCCACCGCCTGTGCCCTTAAAGCAGTAGGGAAATTGATGGTGGATGGATTCAATCTTTGATTGTTACTTTGTTCCAATTTTACGGTTCGCAAGTTTTCTCAAAATTACAATATCACTCGGTCAAAGACGATTGGTGTGATTACCAGATCAAAGTTCGATGTATTAAGCTGGCTAAGATAAATGGATACCGTAACTACCACGCCAAACATCAAAGGAATGACAACACAACCGAGACAGTGCTTAATGGTTTAATTGACGGCAATCTTGTTCTTGAGATGAAGTGGAACGTTGTCTTTGTAATGAGCCTTGCAGAGTTTCTCGCCATAATAGAAATGCTCACCAGCCTCCATATCCGGGAAATTGGAGACTCTGGCCTTCTGCTCAAACATCATGACGCAATCCGATCCTCCGAAAGCAAAATGCGAAATTTCATCTCCTTTCTTGATCTTCTGGCCCTTTAATTCCATGTTCATGTTGACAGAGGAAACAATCGCCATACCAATAGGCATGACAGCTACTCGTCCCAAATTTTCATTATTGATAATGAGGATTCCACGGGTTTGCAAGAATTGATAACCGGGTGAATCAGGAGCGTCGAGTGTGGTGACTCCATTGAGCTCTTGCTTCTTCATACGAGGGGAAATGCGACGTCGAGGTGCAAGGTAGTTGTGCCCTCCAGCTTTCTTGTCTGTCTCGACGAGTACCTCTAAATAGGCAGCACCTTCAATCACATCGATGACCTCAACGGTTCCAGAGACAGGGGCGTGTTGTCGATGATAATCGAAGGTGTTGAGGAAAGAATGTGTCCAAATTCCTTCTTGGAACAATTCTCCGTATGTAGTTTTGTCGTCGAAGTTTGGAACTTTCTGTTTCCCGTATTTACCGAGCAAGTCTGAGACTTTCCAAGGGAGATTCTTAAGTACTACCTCGGACTCGTCGGTGATGTAAAAGGCACCGGCAAAAGTGGAATCAGCAGGGAAGGTGATAATGCGATCATCTTCTGGTGAGGTGATTTCACGAGGTTCCTTAAGCTTGCGGTAGAAGAACTCATTGAAAGTCTTCCAATTTTTTGGGTCTTCAGCTTCAAACACACGAAACTGGGGAGAATTTCGGTAGCTCGTCAAGGAAGTCTCATTCCATGACTCGGGCTTATCCATAAAGTTTCCAATCTCCTTGGCATATCGAACCAGCCAGTCCGAGAGCGGAGTGAGTGGCTTATTAACATTCTTGGGAAGAATGGACGTCTGACGCACGCCGAACGGTTCTTGCGCAAGCACGAAATAGAACATGCAGAGAATGTAGTAGATGTCGCGACCGTTGGTGCTCTCGGTGGGGATCCAGCCGCGCACCAACCAGTCTGCGAAATCGAGAAAGCCTTTGCCGGAGGTGATGCCGTAGGTTTTCATGTCGGGGATGTCGTAGGTGAGGGCGTTACGCACGGCGGTGTCGAGATCGTCGACTTCTCGGAGGAGCTCGTCGCGCAGCTCGGTTACGATGGGGGCGTAGGTGGGCATGGTGATGGTGAGTTGGTTTGGGTGGAGGGTTTTTCAAGATTTAGGATGGAGGGATGATGGATAATGGGTATGTCTTTTCAGTGTTGAGTAAGGATGTATTGATTGATTGAGGAGTTGTTTAGATCTGGGATTTTAGCATTCATGGTGGTTCTAGCAACCCTTTATATATTCTTCACTCAGTCGGTAGTGACGACCCATGACGCATTTTTGTTTCTCGTTACATTGATACACGAAGGACTGCATATGCTTGCCTAGACAGGATACGTTGGAGGCGGGCTGAAGATTGGGAGATTGGAATGGGGTCTTCAAAGTACAGTACTCAATAGTCGTATGTACGCGGTGGTCGTAATTATGCGAGTGCTTGGAATAGGAATGAGGGGCTCAAATGGTTCCAAGACATGTTCATTACACTTAGTCATGCGTCATATGATAGCTATGAGTGTTCTGAACTTATTGTAGCCATTCTCGTTGTCAAGTTGGATAAGATTGTTACATAGTTGTTGCCAGCAGTGAGAGAATGGTGGGAACCCTTTCCTTTTCAGGGTAGATAGATGGATTCCTCAGAAATGTCATCCGATTTTCTGCTCTGTAACGAGTCATTACAGAATGGAAATAGCAGAAATTTTAGTGCTAGCTGAGGTTCTCATTTGGGTGAACATTGCAGAAGGATTGAGTAATACAAAGGGAAGTTGCTACAGTAGAATTAGTTGGTATACGGGATCTTCTTTCGTCCTGTCTTTTTTGGGACAAAAACAAGTCTTTTACCCACATAAATTCAGTCTGTTTTCCACTCGTGCTGCCAGAGAGTATACATCTCTGAAGCTAGAGATACACATCACGAGATGGTAAACTACAAGAACACTAATTTGACGCACTGGACCGAACATCCGGCCCACTAAACTCGCTAAAGTTGAAATTCTCCTCAAAACACCGTTGTTTTTAGAAACGAATAACAATATGAATAACATTATGAAGTCCACAAAGTTAAGTGTAGCACATTCATAACCCTATCAATACTTTTATATACTTCACGATCAAAAATGTTGATGACTTGTTTTAAGAAAGAATTTTGAAAATGGAGTTGCTTCTCGGTCTGTCTGATTTTCACTAGCGTCGAAGCTGCATACTTTCTGGCAGCACGAGCACTGCTGATCAGGAACTAGAACACAGCGCCACAGAACCAACACTAAAAGCGGTAGTACCCGCATCCGCCTAACGTTCATTGTATTAACAATGACAAACTATTTCTACCAGCCAATCGTATCTGCAGCGTTACGAGTACACTAGAAAAGAAGAAAAGTCGAGAGACGAAAGTGGCATGCGGGTAAAAGTTCTGACGGGTCCGCAATTAACCTTAATCCCTTGCCTCGATCTCGCGTCATCAATTATTCTTTATTGGTATCGGTGCATATCAGCTTTGATATAGCACGCTCGTCTAACATTAATCGGGCTATACTAACTCTTATGAAGAAACACGATACTGCGGGGTAATGCATTTTCCGCGCTGAATATTTACAGGAACGACAAATCAATTTCTTGGGGCCAGGATGAAGCGGAAATAAGATATTTGCATGCCGTTCAATCGGTCTCTGTGCAGGAACCTTCAGCGGATAAATTTGGAACCGATAGTCGACTCGTCATGTTGTATTATTCCCGTCGATACATAGATGAGAATGGTCCACCCACACGGTTCGTCATGATGCGGGTATGCGTGGGTGTATCTGAATCGAAGAAGATTTGTGATGTCTTGGTTGAGCAGTGTACGAAGTGCGTGCCCAAATTTGAGCTTGCAAATGAGTTTGGGCATCGAACACGTGGATGTCAGACCATATTTACCTTTCTATTTTATTTGTGGTGTGGCTGGTGGTTGGCCAACGAGAGAAAGCTCTCTAGTGTTTGGACACCCGAGAGTTAGAGGTAACGGAACAATAAGACATTTGCGGTTGTGTATTACTGGCTTTGGTGGTATGATTGTCAGGTGAATATCGTCTTCCCATGGATAATCAATAGGAAGAGATGAGGGTATGGCAATAGAAAAGGCTTAGCGCAAATGTACTATGGTGTATCACCTTTCACAAGTGTGCAAGATATGCGGTGTGAAATTTGAGTGTATGTATCTACGGTGTCGTACGCGAAACCGCTACTTCTCATCCGAGTATGTTATCTCGTTGGCAAAATCTTCCCATGCAACGATGAGCCAGAAGCCTTGTATGTGCATGGTCATGTGCAAGAACCCGTTCTAGGTCGTCTCAAGGGTATCGAAAAGGGCGATCCTGATATCCCCGTCAGCGTCGCGGCTAGCATGGTCAATAGTCACTATCTTGGATTCTCAGGATTTGCCACTGGCTTCTCGTTTGCCAATACCGTGCTCAATGGAACCGCTAGTTTAATGAGCATATCCAAAGACAATAAAGCTGAGAGAGAAGACATCATGAAATATATTGTCATTTCGCAGATTCCTGATCGATGGAACCATCTTCGGCCAATCGGCTCAGATGTGGATTACGTCTCTATCATCAAGATCACCCCCAATACGCAAAAATCACACACGCATTCGGTGCCCAAGGTTTTGGGTCTGGAAGTACAAAATGATGTCGAGGATAAAGAACTCTGCAAGCAGCATTGGGAGGGCGCAATATCTTTCTGGGAGAAACTGGGACAGCCCATTTCGGGAAAAAATAATCTGCCAGAGGGGAAAGAGAGGGTTGCGCCTCGATACATTTATGATTTTATTAAGGAGCAGAATGCGAAGAGTGAGTATTTTGCTAGGCAAATGGCGGGCGCGGATTATCCTTTTGATTATCCTAGACATTGAGGGGTTGAAATTTAGGGGGTTTCTTAAGCATTTGTTAGTTCGGTTACTCGGGTAAATCAACTTCACATTCATATCCAGCTTTGGAGACTTGAGTCAGGGTGAAGTTGACAAAATGGTTGCCTGTTCTGTGGATGTTCTCACGGTGTATTCGAGTCATGACTGTCCCCCTCACTCAGCATCAAATCTCCGATATCTTATCTTTAGACAATCTGAACTACGAATCTTTCTGCACTTTTCTCAAAAGATCGATAGCAGCCATTCCCATCCCTTGTAACTTCGTCATCAGACCCCGACTCGCGGAGCCTCATGGTGACAGTAATGCATATTCTCCTGCGCATCTTCTGTGATCTTCACCAACATGCAAGAATACATTTTCATAATTGATCGCATATGAGGTTACATCACATCGCATACAAACAACATCATCCAAGCTGATCTGCAATGACCACTCCCTCTCCTATACACACGTACACGGTCGTTCGAATCCCCAGATTTCAGCTCGTCATTGAACATCATAGTGGACGGAACTAGAATGGGTATCTGTACAACAGTATCACGATTGTGTAGTTCTACAAGCATTCGCTACGTCTACCGAGTCTGCTATCCGTTTGTGGAACAACTTACAGGAACCCCGCGGTTGTGATTGGTAGATTGGGAGCACGACGTATGTGCTAGTGTATTTGGGTGTTGCGATACCGTGCTACAGTGTGATGCGAGTGCATCTGCAAGTTGCAACTGCGATGCGCGAGATGTGATGAGTGATTCGTGAGGCGTCCCCCGCATTTCAAGAGGTGATACTTGGGAGATGTGTCGTCAGTGGAGTGGTACTTGGGTGATGTGATGACGTTGAAATTTCATACTAGCTGAAGCTATTGTGTGGGATTGAAGGTATTAGATTAGTTGCAGCACTCTGGGGCAAAGAGGTACATGCATACATGGGTGTAACTTTTATGAGAGGATCGGCTGTGAAATGGTGATGAGGTTGTGTATATATTTCATTGATAGTTCGGCCTAAGTGTTATTGTCTTTTTCATTTGTGTTTTGCCCAAGTGTGAGCACCGTTTTGAAAATTGAAAAATTTGTTGTTGAGCTTGTGGATTGCGGAAGAATCGTATATACCTTGCTCTCCCTTTCGGATCTCTTGTCTCTTATTACGAAGTACAGTGGTTTATCTTACAGTGAGCCATGACTACCGATAATTTGGACCTTGTTTTCAAGAAGTAAGTATTGGGTCTATGGAGGAGGAACTCGTGAGTCCGTTACCAATTACTGAATTCTTCGCGCGTGGTATAGGATTGACGAGCTTGCTACCGCTACCGCTCCCAATTTCAACATTATCCATGATCGTGAGTTGAAAAAGAAAGTCTGCATATAATGAAATTACAGATATTCTAACTACAATCTAGGCCTCGTACCCGCGATCAAAATCCCATCAATCTCTTCCGAGCGAACCGTTGAGGGACGCAAACATGTGGTCGCTGTATGTGTATCTTCCTTTGCTACTTGGAGATCTTGCAAGCTTGTATTCTGACGCGTATTAGATAACGGAGTTTTTGGCAGATCAACTTACGAAGCTGAATGCATCTGTGGAACGACATTCGCTGGGAAAGGAACCAGAAACAGAACTTAAGTTGCCGGATGTTATTATTGCTAAATATCCAAAAGTGTACGAGAGTAAGAAGAAGACGATTTTGATTTATGGACACTATGATGTTCAGCCTCCGGGGGAAGGTGTAAGTTTGATTTGTTTATTAAATTCTCTATTCTCTATTTTCGATTATGTCGGCAATGCGGGATAAAGCAGTTATTTATGTTTACCGATCACGCTTCGGCTCTTCACTTTCATTATTTCCTCGCATCCTTTTTTGACGGGTGTTACTGATCATCTAATCTTCAAGTGGGATACCGATCCCTGGACCATCACAGAAAAAGGCGAAGATCCAGACAAGAAACTCTACGGACGAGGTGCTACCGACGACAAAGGACCCGTACTCGGGTGGCTCAACGCACTCCAAGCCTACCAGGAAGCAAAAGTCGATGTCCCCGTCAATCTAATATTCTGTTTCGAAGGAATGGAAGAATCTGGATCCATCGGATTCGCAGACTTTGCAATCGCTAACAACAAACTCTTTGAACATGTCGATGCTGCATGCATTTCTGACAATTATTGGCTTACGACCAAGAAACCATGTTTGACATATGGACTCCGCGGTATTAATTACTTCAATCTCACAGTGGAACATGCAGGTGTGCAACTCCACAGCGGAATGTTTGGAGGTTGTGTGTATGAGCCCATGACAGATCTAGTGATTCTGCTTTCGAAACTTGTGGATTCTCAGGGTAAAATTCTGATTCCGGGGATTAATGAACTTGTGGATGATGTGTCGAAGGAAGAGGTGGAGGAATATACTACGATAGAGTTTTCGACGCAGGATTTCCAACAGATTATTGGCAGCGATGCGAATATCTATAATAATCCGCAGGAAACTCTCATGCATAGGTTTAGGTATCCATCTCTTACTATCGTAAGTTCAGTCAGCTATTTCATTTTGTACTTTTCAATGTCTAATACTATCTATGATTTTAATATCTCATCTGTGACATTTTACCTCTTTACCTGTTACCGGGCTCTTATTATCCAACTCCTTCCGAACTAGAAAATAACCAAAATCCCCAATTCTAGCACGGTATCGCAGGCGCAGATTCCAGCCCCGACCAAACCACCGCCATTTACCCCAAAGTAACCGCCAAATTCTCCATCCGCACTGTGCCATCCATGGATCAGGAAACCGTTTCCGATCTTACCATCAATTATCTCTACCAAGAGTTTGAAAAACTTGGAAGCAAAAATACATGCACAGCGAAACAGTTTGGAGAAACGGCTCCGTATTGGCTTGCTTCGCCTGATGATGCAAATTATAAGGCTGGAAAGGCGGCTACGCAGAAAGTTTATCATACTGAACCTGATTTGACGAGGGAAGGTGGAAGGTTAGTTTATATTATTTTTCTGGTTGTGGTAGTTTGGATCTCTGTGTGGAGTTTTTGGCTGACAATATAACAAATTTGTAGTATTGGAGTAACACTTGATTTGCAAAAGGCCTTGGGGGAAAAGAGTATCATGTTATTGCCAGTAGGGATGTCAGATGATGGGGCTCATGGTCCGAATGAAAAACTTAACAAGAGGAATTATATTGAGGGGAGCAAATTGCAGGGAGCTTATTGGTGGTATTTTGCCAATCCTCAGTCCTAATTTGCTGTCAATCCGGATGTGGGGTTTCTATTAGTTAGATGATCAATATCCATGGAAACCGTGTCCCATTTGACTAATTGATGATGTGTATTGACACATGTGAATATCTGTGCAAGTCCATGATTGAACCCCTTTCCTGAATCTAGCGATTCAAACTCACGCAACGGTTTTCATCATAGTTATATTGGGCAAACCTTCTCTAGAAATCCATGTGTATCGAGTGCAATGGCCTCAACAACTTTGTACGAACTACCCATTGCGAAAATTCTGGCCACTTGGCTGATCTGTCAAGCATTTCTTGGTGCCTTGCTACTTTCCTTCGCTCTCGTAGTCCTTCACAGCTTTTGGACACACTAATTTCGGAAATCATCTGCATATTAGCAAAATTTCTGTACTAATGAAATTACTTCAGCTATAAGATGCATAATTAACAAGAGAGGAAAAATAGCATATTACAGGAAGCCATAATGGATATTGGTCAGTCCGAAGAAGAGAATCTGCACACCATAAAGGCCTCAGGGTCGCTACTTCCTATTTCATTGTTCGAATGCTTACTATTTTATTTATGTAATTCTGGAAAAGTTATTACTTGGATTGCCAGCATACCTATTGTTGTTACATCATCTGCTCCTGAGCCATTATTGATGTCCAGCGAATAATATAAGGCACATCGACAAGGCAGGAGGAGAAGTCACCTCGGGCATTCGCTCTTGATAAGATAAATGTACCCATCAAGGATTGCCTGAGTCTGGATGATAAGTGTTCTTGAAAACAGAGGTCTTTCAATAGCTCTGATCCATTCGATCGCCGAATTGACCACAATCAACAAGCTTGCTGAAATCATTCCCATTGAGGATTCATCGCGAAGCAGGATGTGGCAGACTAGATATAAGCTCCCGATGTTTTAAAGCCGTACAGTCATTCAAAACAGATCCAGTAATCCAAACCATTCCCACAGTTGAGGGCATTCAGAAATGAAAGTTTCTGCTTGCCGGACTGCAATTCGGAATGTCAGAGAACCTGGCTGGAAGAATCCGAACTTTGTGTTCTATCCCGCTTCAAACGCTCCTTCTGTGTCCCCAAGGATTTTTTTTCAACGATAGGACATTTTTCTCTTGAAAACGGATGCTCATGTCGATATAATTAGGTACATATGACATAGCAACGCGTCTACTAAAGTCATCATGCAAGATTAGTAATCGACATTCTTTTCCCACCTCAAATTCTACACATCGAATCAATTACTTCATTATTATACTACACGCGCATTCTATGCATACTACGCGTTCATTACTTTGTGTTACGTCAATCTTATTTTCGAATTCCACATTACATTGAACTTAACTTTTCTTCTTCTCGTCTTTCCTGTACGATGCGAAGATTTCAGGTATGACAAGGGCGGTGTGAAGTGATTAAGATCTACCTACGCATCTAATCGTGCTGTCAGAATCTATGCAACTCCCAGCTAGAAAGCATATACCACAAGATGGTAAACTATAACAGGACTAACCCGTTTTTCACGGCAGCTGAGCTGTGTACTTTCTGGTCACTCGAGTAGGTGAAAGGAGACATCTTCAGATTTAGGGTTCAACTAGTTGAATGCCAATGGTTTAGTTGGAAACTTAATACTTGATTCTATTCTATGAAGACAGATGAGTTGTATAGCAAAAGAAATATAGCTTCTCTATAAAAAAGTTTGTATAATCTAAAGGTAAATTGTTCTTTCACATTCTTTCGAATACATCCATCAAGGCTCCTGCGGTGAGATTTGAATTCTTGCACTACACTACTCGAATATCCACCAAAAATATCAGGAATATTCCTACAGTCTCTCATTACCAATGGATTCCTCTAATGGAAAAGTCTCGCCATCAGTAGCCTTAACACCAGAGATGGTTCCATCTAATGGAACGACTTTGACACCAGAGATGGGTTCTTCCAACCAAACAGGTGTAACTCTCGAATATCAAGAACCAAAGATGGATTGCTTCAACCGGATGGTATTGTCGCATTGGGAAGCCTTCTCAGGTGCAATTGAAGATGAAGTTTCTGGACTCGAGCCAATAAGAGCCGATGGCTCTAATTTAAACCTAGCGACCCTGGTTGCCATCGCGAGGTAAGTGTCAGTTCTGACCGATAAGTGTAAGAAAGTTGGCACTGACACAAGACTTGAAGATACCGTCGCAAAATTTCACTTAGCGAAGGAGCAACCGGCAAAATGAAGAAAAGTGCAGAGGCTTTGCAAAAACGGATTCAAAACGGCGAGTCAATTTATGGTGAGTTCACGTGCTTTTGAGCAAACGTAAAAGCACCATCACACAAGCTCATACATTGGAAGGTGTTAATACTGGTTTTGGTGGAAGCGCCGATGTTCGACCAAAGAACGTCTCTGAAGTATCTGCAAGCTTATTTCGAATGCTTCATTACGGAGTTATCTCTAGCCCTCTAGACAGTCTTCATGTTGAAGAGTTAGCAACAAACGATTCAGTGAGCGATATTGAATCGAAGGAGTCTACAGCTGCGAAACTAGCAAGACTGGCTATTCCTTTGTCTGATCCCGTCTGCTCAACCACCATGCCAGAGAGCTGGGTTCGTGGAGCAATGGCCATTCGTGCCAATACGCTTGCCAAGGGAGCCTCTGCAATTCGACCAGTCATTGTCCAATCTTTGTTCGATCTTTTAAACAAGGAAATTATCCCCGCTGTGCCACTTAGGGGAAGTATATCTGCTTCCGGTGACCTTAGTCCATTGTCATACATTGGTGGAGCATTGGAAGGAAAGCCGGCGATTCAGGTTTATGTTGATTTTGATCGAAAACGTGTTTCAGCAGACAAAGCATTATTGCAAGCTGATGTCCCCCCACAGTTTTCCAACCTAAAGAGGGATTGTCGTTGGTCAATGGAACAGCAGTAACAGCTGCTGTTGCATCTTTAGCCATGCACGAAGCTGTTATGCAAGCTCTGCTTTCACAAATCCTTACTGCTATGTCTGTTGAAGCACTCTCTGGTACGGACGAAAGCTTTAATCCTTTTTTCGCTGAGGTCAGACCCCATAGAGGTCAAACGGTATCAGCGAAAAACATCTACTCATTCTTGGCTGGTTCCAAGTTGACAAAGGGAAATGATACCCAGGAATTTCATTTACGTCAAGATCGTTATTCTATTAGAACTGCGTCACAGTGGATCGGTCCATCACTAGAGGATCTTTTGTTGTCCTATGAGCAGGTATCAATTGAATTAAATTCCACCACTGATAATCCCCTTGTTAGTGATGACGGAAAGATGCATCATGGTGGAAATTTCCAAGCGAAGTCCATCACAAGTGCCGTGGAGAAGACTAGACAAGCTTGTCAGTCAATTGGTCAAATGTTATTTGCACAATGTACCGAACTGATAAATCCAGCAACAAACAACGGCCTTCCTCCTAATCTGGTGGCAGATGAGCCGAGCGAATCCTGGATGTTTAAAGGTATTGATATTATGATCGCGGCATTGCAATCTGAGCTTGGCTTTCTGTCTAACCCCGTTGGTTCACATGTTCAGACGGCTGAAATGGGCAACCAAGCTTTGAACTCTCTGGGACTGATCTCGAGTAGATATACGCTATCGGCTTTGGAAGTTCTGACGCAGCTTTCTGCGGCACATCTAGTGGCTATATGTCAAGCTCTAGATCTTAGAGGAATTCAGGATTTATTCTTTATGAATTTGAGGCCTAAGTTTGAGAGCTCTTTCAATCAGAGCCTTGGAAAATATACCCAGGAACGTCATGGTCAATGCGACTCCATGGAGACGAAGGAACTATCCGAGTTACAACTGCTCCTCTGGGATAAACTGACAATAACTCTCAATCGAACCTCAAATATGGACTCGATCACGCGCTTTGAACATGCAGCTCAGTCGCTTCAGGCAGCCATTCTTGATAAGTTGGAGCCCAGTCTGAATATGTTGCAAGCTTTAAAAGACTGGACGAAAGTATGCTCGAAGCAAATGATTGACACCCACAACATTGCAAAGAGAAAATATTCCGAATCAATCGGGGTCGCTAAGTTCTTTTTGGGCAAAGCTGGTGAGCGGATGTATTGTTATGTACGCAATGAGCTTCACATCCCTTTCGTTGACGAGGAATACCTCAAGTCTTCGGAATGGTCGCCCGATACGCCTAACTCATATCAATCCATCGGAAGTATGGTAACTGCGGTATATGAACGTATGAGATCGGGTGAATTATATTCGGTTGCTATCGAGTGCTTGAAGGATGCAGAAGGGGGAAGAAAGAATGAATCGAATAAATAGAATAGTGCACGGACATTGTGTAGATAACGATCACTCAACATTAATACCACAGTAAAGGTTGTAAATCAAGGGCACTGAAAAGTCGTGAGAATCACTGTGTTGCGGATGTGAAAATGTCTTAAAGATTAACTAATAGTTAGGTGGTGGTGGTGTATCTGAACCTACCTCTATAATGATAAGCTTAAGGTTGCCTACGGATCGAAATCAGCCACGTCTTACCACTACAACGTTCAAAACGTGACTGGCTGATTTGCTTCAGACGCACTACCAGCGCAAATAATCTCATTCTATACAGTTTCAAGCAGGATTCTACATTAGAACACCTCGTGCGTATCGGAATGAATATGGACATCCCCTCAGCTTCTGATTCAATTGAGAATGCTGTTGAGATGGGTTCGAAATCTGAAGAAATTCCGAAAGCTAGTGAGACTGGCAATGATGAGACCAGTAATACTTGGGTATCGTGGACTCCTGGCAGTGGAAGTGTGAAAGGACCTGTGAAAACATTTCATAGAAAGACTAAGACTGGGTGTATAAGATGTAGGATAAGGAAAGTGAAAGTAGGTGGTTTATTTCCTCCGGCACGTGGTGCTGTTTGCGCTACCTGGGACGATATTTGAAAGTTGAAGAAGTTTTTGGACTGTGAAATGGTTTGAGACCCATTATGCACAATCTAAGTTCTCAACGAGCCCAAACTTTAAGGGAAGAGCTTACGGGGTTCGCAATGTTTTTCTTGATCCCTCACGCCAATTCTGACGGTCGGTTTAGTGCGATGAATGCCAGCCAAGTTGCCTCAATTGTAAACGGCATGAAGTAGAATGTAAATACGATTCTACTACATGCAGAAAGGTTACAGAGAAACCCAACACAGAAAATGTCACTGCCAAAGACCTACGGACTAAATTTCCCGAGACCGCCGAAAGACGTCTACAAGAACTTACCCTGCTTCATCATTACACAACCAACACGAGCCGAACAGTAACATTTACTAATTCCGCCAATCCAGACCAAACTGCTATCGACATATTTACAAAAACTGTTCCTGAAATCGCTCTAACAAACGAAGCACTTCTATATTCTATATACTGTATATCATCCCTCCACCTCAATGACCAAACAACCTCATCCACCCCCAATACCTCTCTAATAGACGCCTACACCTACCTCGATACAACCCTCCGACTCCACCGCCAAGAAATCCACCACCTCACCCCCCAAAACGCCGACGCCATCTGTCTAACCTCCAGCAATCTCCGCGTCTGCGCCTTCGCCATGCTTCAAAACCGTTCTCTATCCCCCTACACTCCGCCCTCTGACTGGATAAACATAACCCGCAGCGCATCGATGGCTTTCAAAACCGCGTGTCAGTGCATCTCATCCAAAGATCTAGACGCAAACGACGAAGCGCAGAATAAGAGCGTTGCGTGGATGTTTGTGAAACGCATGCCGGTTTTGGCGCACCCTGTGGAAATGTTCGATCGAGAAAATGCGGGGAAATATATCCATTTACTGAGGAGAAATCATACGGATTGGGAAAATGAGGAGTGGAGTGAAGAGATTGAAAAGGCGTATAAAACTACGGCTTGTTTCCTGGGATATGTGTATAAGCATATTGAAGCGAAAGCGAATCCAGCGGTAATTGCGCGGTTGTTGATTGGTTTTCCATTTTTTATCGAGCAGCGCTTTGGGGAATTGGTTCAAGAGGGAAAAGAGAGAGCGTTGGTTTTGTTGGGGATTGTTTTCGCGCTGTTTGTGAGGGTTAGGAAGATTTGGTGGATTGGGGGGTGCGGGGAGAGAGAGGCGAGGGGGATATTGGGGGTATTGGGGGATGAATGGCGGGATGTGAAGGAGGAGATTAGGGGGTTGATTGGGGAAGGTGAGAAGGACGTATATGAGTTTATTTGAGTTTCATGATTCGAGGAACCTTTATAGTAGTAATGTTCAGACAGTAGATATATCGTGATAAGCCCTAGACCAAGCTTCGTTATACTGTTGTGCAAGGCCAATCTTTAAATCTTACCAAGTAACTCGAGTGCATTCTTCAATGCTGAACATGTGTAGACGTATCTGAAAGCAAAGAACCATATATGATCGATGCTCGTTTGTATCTTTCGTTATCCCTAACACCAAAAACGATAGTGCTAAATGTCTCTGGTCATTTTAAGGAAAGATTGCAAAGTGAACCGAGAGCGATAGCATTAAACTCTATGTCAACTACTTCTTCTATCAAATCTTGGTACCCCGAGCGTTGAGCGTTAAATTTCCGAGACCTTTGTTTTAGATTGTCTTTGACAACTTCTCTGCGATATCCTTGATTTGAGGTTCCTATAATGTGAGAAAATTATGAACTTGGATCAAGGTTGTGAAAAAAAAAAACCGAAAAAATCTTCGTTCTACGCTGTCTATCTTGTATCTGAATAGTGGCGAAGATAGAAATGATGTAGACTTCTCGTATGAATATTCCAACCTGCGGAAGAGTTGAACCTGTATTTGGAAAGGTTATAGAGAAAAACCTCGGAGAAACATATGTTTCCAGAGTCGTCTGTATTGAAAAACGATACGAAAAGGGGTTTATCCGAATCAAAGGTGATATTACGTAGGTGGAGAGAGTCAAAACCTAAACGAGCATGTAAGGTAGAAATTGTGGAGGAAAAATGTTACTTTTCAATAAAGGTCAGCTTATCGGATGGGTTCAGCTGAAGTAGATCCGGGTGATTTTCGGTAATTGTCGATGAAGGTACTAACCTACAGCATCTTGAGATGAAGAGATATCGCTAGGAAGTACAGAGTGCATACTCCGATTTTGATCAACGTTCATTTTGTTGCAGTAGGGTGATGCCCTTGTCGAGATTTGGACTATAGAGACCTTTTTTCACGCAAAATGCAATCTCGTCTCTGATCTAACCTTACATCCCTACAACGTTAAATAACAGCAATCACTGTTCTTCGCGAATCTAGAATGAAAATGAAAACATGTACACTCAGAATCAACTCCTCCGGTCCGCCGTTCACTCCACTCATCGACTTGACATCTTCCCATCTAGACCAGCCTTACTTTCAAGACACATTCTATGCAACGCAACGCATTAGCGATCGACCGTACACTCGATCTTCACTGCCTCCACGCCCAACGGAGCCTTCTCCCACGCAAAAGCGAGTACCGAGATTGCCGACGTGGATACGCGATCGGCACAAGGAATCCGATTCCAGCCAAACGCATCACATGACTGTACGATAACAGCTTAGTCCTCGCAGGCCTTGCGCGCAAGGCGAACACAGAAACTGCCAACGAGGCCTTGATGGGCAGGGAATCCCTAGCCCGGACAAGCCTAACGCCACTCGGATATTTTATGCGAAGAGGGATGGGACGAATCAGAAGAGCAGAGGAAAGATCATGCACGATAATAAAGACACAATGGTTTGGGTATCTGGATTATCGGGATACTTCTGGAATCCTGGATCTAGATTTTTTGATCAACTTCCTTGGAATATACCTAGATTGTTCGGCGGATGGAGAATCATTCGCGAGGGAGTGCTCTCTGCGAATCATTGTTTGGGTAGGGCTACAGCGGGGATTCGTCAGTGCGAGTAGGGATTATCGTGTGTGCATGTGACCGTGGCTGGGTTTGGATTTTCTTTTCCTTGGGGACCTTCTATTTTCGTATTAAGCTTGCTTCCAATGTTCGGATTGGTGGTATTCAGACCCTGGATTCCAATAGATGATGCGTTTGTTATGATTGGGTTTGATTGCTATAGGTGCATATCGTCATGATGGGTCCACGCCTTGATATTCGATGGTAATTGAAGATGTTTATGGTGAAGGGTAGGTTGGTGTGGAGACTGGATTCAATGGCAGCTGGGTGGAGATGAAGATATATATATAGAGGGTAGGTACTCGGTCGGTGAAGGAGAAGTTTTTTTTAGAACATATGAAAACGATTGAGTTTCTTATTTAATTGATTAATATTGCTATATCCTCGAAAGAGATATTTATTTACGATTGTGTTTAATATTCTATTTATTTACAAAATATATCTTCAAATACACAAACAAACAGACGTAGAAAGAAGACAAAACAAGCAGACAAAATGTGTTTATTTGGCAGTGAGTAATTCTCTTTCCATTCAATTACAAGTTGATACATTTTATTCCAATCAAAACTGTTACTCCATTTTCTCCAGAATCCTCCATGCTAACATACCTCCCCCTCATAGTCCCTAAAGACGAAGACATAGTCTTTGTCGATCGTCGGGCTCCCCGCCATAAATCCACCCAAGTGATCCGCGAAAGACGTTCCCACTCATCTCGTCCCGTATCCCGCGTCTCAGAAACCATCATCAAACAACACCACCGCCGACCTTCCACACCCATGTCCGAAGTTCACCGGCATTCAACCTCAATGACCGAGATTCACCGCGGCCCACCCAGCCATCGGCATTCTAGCTCTATGACGGAAATCCACCGCTCACACACTCCTGTTCCGCCGACTCCAAAGCCAGCTACTCCTGTTCCCCCTCCGGCGTCCGTTGCTCCTCCACCACCACCACCACCAGCTTCAGTAGGATTTCCCCCAGGATATCCCCAGGGTATGCCCCAGGATATCCCCCGCCTCCTATGTCGGTTGCGCCGCCCCCGTCACATCATCATTATATACCTCCGCCCTCACCATCTACTGTGCCCCAAAGCCCAGCACCTTCATACCGCGATCTCTCACCTCCTCGCGTGCCCACTCCACCAGAAGAAAGCAGAGTCGAATTAATAAAAGTGGAAGAAGAACACTGGCCGCCGCACTCCCATGGGCGATCCAGTCCGAGCGCAATCCATGTCTCAAGGAGGAAGAGTAGGAAAGGGAGTGTTTCGAGCGGGAGAGATAAAGATAGAGATAGGAGCGAGAGAGAGGAAATTTACATCCAGAGAGATCGTATTATTGAGCGTGGTACCCCATCTCGGCATGCGTCTTCGAGTCCGAGCTCGTTTGCAAGGAGGGGGAGTAGAGGGAGTGGTACTCCTGAGCCGGTGCAAAGTGGATACCGTACAGTAGAGGGGACGGGATGGGATGATAGAAGACCTATTACGCCGAGTGGATATAGAGTTGTGGATGGAGCGGGAGCGAGAAGAGGAAGCGGAGTTGGAATAGCAAATATCCATCGAGAGAGAGAATGGGAGAGAGAGAAAGTATCACCTTCGGAGTTTGGTGGAAGGAGGGGTAGTATCCCCTATGATAATGGATCTATTGGGAGACCGCGAAGTTCGGCGGGAAGATTTGCGGAGAGAGAGAGGGTGGTTATGGATGAGGGAGGGAGAAGAAGGGAGATGTATAGAAGGGCTTGAGGGGATGGCATGTACTTTTGTGGTGAGGCCTGATACTGTGTAATCATCTGGTGTGTGATCGCCTTTCTGGTTTTTTAATGATGCGGCGATTGGATGATGAAGGTTGGAATATTCTTCAACGCTATTTTATACTGTTTAGATTGTACGCATATACTGCGCGAGCGAGCGAGCCCAATTCTATTAGATATTTGCCAACGTCTTTTAGTCCTTTTTTTATTTAAATTCATTGGAACACTCGATACTATAGAATTTTATACTCAATTTATTTCCATATCAATCACTACAATTGCTAGCTCATGTGAAATATACCCATTTTCATACGCTAGTGCTGTTCTTGAGTAGATATCAAGCGTGGTAGTACAAGCACCCGCAAGTGTAAAATGGGAGGAACCCGTATTTTCTGAGAGGTTGCGAAAAGTTACGATAATATGCGTACTCTGCTTTGTCAACGCCTGATTCCTCTCGATTATCCGTCTCTTTTGACAAGAAAGGTGGGGTTAGAAGCTTTTCGCGGATACAATCACAGGAGTGCTCATATAGTAATGCGAACTTTTGATACTTCTCTCAAGGATATCTTGACACCAAGAATTGACTATCGATCTATCATTTTGGGATTGGGATCATCTGAGTGAGATTCTTCGGATTCAACAATAGTGTGTGTGCGTGTGTTCTCGAGCGCAACCTGGATTGTGAGTCTTGGATAAAAGATGGCCACCTCGCCTTCTTTTGCTGTTGAAATAGTTGGAGAATAAGAGGGGAGCGTTATAGCCAATCCTTCGAAGAATTTGGCTCCCAGATCTTCAAATACTAGTCATGTTTGATGCAAGTGGCTCAAAATTCATCCGTTTATATGCAGACCTGAACTGGTAGCTCTGAAACTCTTGGATATAATTTTGGAAATTGTCTTTCGAATTAACTAGAAATCGAATAACATTTGGTTTCTGCAAGTTTCCTTCACTCTTAACCCCATAGCTATCCGGAAGCATTGCTCGTTCTTAATTCTATCAGTAATTGACTCGATAATGGCCCTCGCACCAATTGGAAGCAATAATTATCGCTCAGCGAATTCCGACACAATCCAGTAGACTTAACGAAGTATATCACCGAGGGGCTGCAGCATAGCGATAAACGATGGGTGCTGCTGACTTGAGGTTTAGTGAGCTTTTCAGCCAACGTGAAGTTGCCCGTTTTATGATTGCAATTCTCCTTGGCCGGACTCCGTGTAATATATACAGGCATTAATGATACTACTCCAGCAAATCTGCGAAAAATTCATGTCTCTGTAGCCCACCATTCTGTTTCTTGTCTTTCTCTGCCTCTGTTAGCTTTGCACATCCTTCTCTTTCACCATGGCGATGATATGAACAGATTTCGACTACACATCTTCCATTCTCTCTTACACGACCTGGATTTGATGGCTTCGTATCCTTAGTGAAATTCTGGAAGTATGCAAAGAAATCTTCGAAGAAGCTGCTATACTCTTTACAAACTACCCAGAGTTGCTTCAAGTCATCTCTACCAGGAATGATGTTAGGTGTTGTCTCGTCGTGATAGAACCAAGCCAATCTCTTGATGCAAAGCAGTCTCAATGGTGACTTATCCTCGGTCTGATTCCAGATATAGTTGACGACGTCTAGTAGTAAATGGTTCACATAGCTGGGTTCTTCGTCTGACAGCCAGAAGTGATATTTGATGCCATTGATGACTATATTTCTCAACCGATAAAAACACCATTTTTCCGACAACAGGTAAAGCTTTATAAATGTATCGAATTGTGCGTGAGTCCGATTGATTGGCCATTTACGTCTATGTAACCATTCAACGAATAGTGCCACCGCATCTGAACCGTCTTCTGGAAAATAGATCTTGCCCTCGGTGCCTTCTAGGAATGGGCCACAAAATGCTTTTTTAAAGTAATCGCATGAGTCGCATATGAGCTTCTTGTGCACTGCAAACTCTTTTCTCTTCGGTCCAACAATGAGTGTAACGATTTCAAGGCCGAGAGAGCTAGAGAGAGATTGTCAGTTGTATCCAATTGCTATTGTGTACAAAGGAACCACTCACTCTCCAACGGTTGGGCTTACAACGGGTACTGGAGCACCTGCCAAAGTCGTTGAGGTCATTTTGTTACGCGTTGCATTTAATCTTGTCCCAGATCTGCAAACAGCTATTAGAAACCGCATCAGCCATAGAAGAATAGGGCTGTATTCATGCTTACAATGTGGTAGATCTGCAGATTTTCTTACTCTCTTTCGAATCGATGCGACGAGAATCGAAGGAAATTCAGATTGTGTAATTTCTTTTGCTCCGACGATCTTATCAGAAGAACATCCTTTTGTAATGAGTGATTGCCGAGTTGATTATTCCATGTTTTTTTGGTAATTGAAAAAGAAAAGTGAAAGTGAAGTTGGAACCGGAGTGAATTTGGAAGTTCACTCTCCCTCGCTTAGGTTTGAACGCAATGCTTCAATTTCCTTGCCTCAATACTGTGAAAGAGCTGAAGCTTGGAAGGATTTTCTATAATAGTTGCTTACCTAGTAGTTGTTCAATCATATAACCAAAATCAACTAGATACAGATACTTTTTTCTTTCGAGGTTGGAAAAAGATATTTATACACATTATTGTTTACCCACTCAACAATATTATTATCTACAGTCTGAAATATTATAACTACATCTGTTCAGGTCTCTATGCTCTTCCTTGCTGCAATTCGCTCTCAATGTACAACCGGGACGTACGCCATCTTGGCCTTCCTTCTTTTACAGTACTTTAATCTATTGTGATAAGAAACGGTCAACAAATTCCATAGTCGAAAATGCCATTGATGACTTCTTTCCCTCCATCATTCCAAGCCTGATTAACTTTGGGCTTTCTGATGAGAAACCCAGACATATCCAATACATTAGTGGTGTCAACGCTATATTTCGCCTCTTCACATTTCGATTGACCAACACGATGATCGTGAAAGGCACAACGGTCCCGATCTCTCTTATCATGCCAAGAGATATTGTATTTATATTGGAAATCGCAAGGCTTGCTGCGGTCGAAACCGGCTTGAATATCCTCGGCGATGTAGTCAGGCATGTCGACAATAGAACGCAGTCTGTTAATAATAAGGAGCCCAATCACGCTGCCATCCCTTGGGTCATCCAGATCTTCGCGAAATTCCCAGGCTAAGCATTGGATGCAGAGTTTTCTCACCGACGAGTCTGGTACTGAAAGTTGCCAAATGGCAGAAGTATCGTTGTCAGAAAGTTTCCATGCATCTCGGTGTTCGAAGGGGATGTTCAATCCTCTGAGAGCTAAGATGATGTCGGAAACATCGTTTGCAAGCCTTTCCGCACACCATTTGTCTGCGCTGATACGGAGCTCCCAGAAATTTCTAAATATCTGGCTGGCGAAGTTGAGGTTTACCTTGGTTTTTTGAAGCCATCCAACCAATAACTTAATGGCTTCGGGTTTCTCTTCTTCAAAATACATTTCCTTTTCTATACCCTCTCTGGAGCGTCCACGGAGAAAGGCTGTCCTGAAGCATTCAATAGAGTCGACGAGAAGGGCTTGAGAGATTGCGAATACTTCTTTTTCTAGACCGACGACTAATACTACTGGATCAGAACGTCTCCTAATTGTTTCATTGGCATATTCAAGCGAGCTTAAAACTTTGATCATAGTCGGGGTATAAAAGGTATTCTGGGAGAATAAACTTACTTTTTCGAGGTCACTATCTTAAAATCTCGTTGCGGAGACATTTTCGATTCGTTTAGAGTGTCGTAAGCTTGATGTATGCTCTTAGAAAAATTGAGACAGATGTATAATGTATAAATGTAACTAAAGATCTTGATATATCCAAGCCGAGCAAAGGTATGTAAGACGTATCTTTATGTGTATCTGTCTAGCAGTTTGTAATGCAAAAGAGAGCTTTGGCCAGGGGGTGATGAATGAATATATACTCCAGCAATAAGGTTAAGTATGCGTGTGAAGTTTTCAAGCTAGTAAGCCTAGGGCCTTGGATCTGACTAGCAAATAGCTAAATACCACGAGGAAAATGACATTCGAAAGTATATCTACATTTGGAACACAAGATTGTTCTGAAAAAGAACATGCATGATGGCTTTGAGGCGTGTAGCAGCCGACGAAGTTGGATTTTTTGACGCTAGTGTTTAGTCTGGAGCAGTCAAAAGCTAGTTTGGTCACTGAGGAGAACGAAATCACTAGTTTGTATCTAGCTCCGGTGCTTAGATCTGATAACCGCAATATCGCGAATATGCATGTTGGTAGTGTCAAAATTTCTGTTTATTTCTGACTAGTTGAAGCATAATATTCGGATGCAGTGGTGTGATGGGAAACGGCGAACCAAGCGAATAAGTTGGCTTGACGTAATACATGATGAGGATTATTCGAGCCGTTGCACTCTTAGAATGGCCTTTGGAAGTAGTGGGCATTGAAAGCTAATGTATAAAAACTCTGTTCTTACTGTTGAAGACAAATTAGGAGCCGCGTCAAATAGACATACGAAGGTGGTGGTATCAGTAGCACCTCTTCACTCTTCACTCATGACCTACCTTATCTAGAGATTCTTAACTTTGAACTTGCGTACAATAGGAAGAACACCTCGAGTATGTGAAATATACATGTAACTCTGGTTTAACTTCCATGATCAAAAGCTTCAGTTTAGAAGTAAAAGTTTAGTATCCCGTAGTTCATAAAATGTGCTGTCTTTTTTTCGCCGCTTCACTATCTAGCCAGACAGATGAGCTCAGCATGTCAATTTGAGATTGCAATCACTTTTGATTACACCGTAAACCCTTGGAGAATGGTAATATAAGTTCACATAACTGGTTGTGAACACGGGAAAACGAATCGTTATATGTCTCAGAAGTCTCGCCGTCCGCCAGCTGCGAATCTTACATCTTATCTAGTAGCTAACCCATAATCATTCCATCCTTAACGCAATTTTATGATTCTAGCCAGTACAAATCATCTGCAAAGATTCTCTCCAAACGCTCCACTTGAATGAAGCCATAACAATGTATTCATGAAGAAGTTCAACTCTCGATCTCGTCTTCAGAATCCTCATTCTGTTTAACCTCCGATGTTGTCAAATGGCACACTTCTCCCTCAGAATGTCGGTGAAAGTAACAATCATCCCATTTATCCTCCTCAAATTGGCATTCTGGAGGATCATCTGCTGAATGCTTCTGAACTGGAGTAAATAAACTCACATAAAGATCCCGATGATCTTTGAAAAGTTCCCACAGAATGACCAGTTCTGCCATATCCAACATAAAAGCCTTCTTCTTCTTGTCAATGGAAGCTTCAAAGTCCCACGCATCGTAGACAAGAGCATGAATGTACCATTTGCGTAGTGGAAATGTAGGAGATGTGCTTTTCCAAATCTTATCGGCATGCTCCACGATGCAGTCAGGGAGCTGATCAAAATCATCAGATTTTGATATGGCTTGAATTGCATTGATAGCTTTGTTCGCAAGCTCATTGACGCATAGCTTCTCCGCAAATATATAGACACCGAGTAACTAGTCGAACTCCTCAAGAGTTTTGCCATCAGGTACTGTTCCTCTGTATAACCAATGCATGAAGTACTCGAAAACTCCAGGCTCATCCTCTGGAATATCCATACTGCAGTCCTGACTTTCTTTGAATCCTCCTACCGAAAATGCACCGCGAAAATACGCCACCGACTCGCATATAAGCTGCTTGTGCACAGCGAACTTGCGCTTCTCTTTTCCCACAATGATTGTAACTAGTTCATAGCCCAGGGATCTGTAGGTTATTATTTATGGCACATCATGAGAAACTCTGATGTTCAACTTACTTTCCGAGGTTGAAGTCGTCCGATGAACCCATCTTTTCAGAAACAATGACGTCGAACTGGCAATCTGCGAATCCTGCATAACAATTAATATAGGTACCGCAATATTCGACGAAAAGCACAGTACGTTTATCTTAGAAAGTAAATAGAATTCAATCGCACAACCAAGGTGGTTGCGGTTTGTGAGTTGGAGAGAGTTTGGCGAGAGAAGAACTTCGAGGAGATCGATTTTCTTCTTAACATGAGAGTCGCGAAGCCCAACCTTGCCGTTCGGATAAAATTCTTATTCCATTCACTTTGTATGCTATTCCAGCTAATGAAAAAATTTACGACGTCGGATTTTCGCTTGGAAATTTGAAGTCACTTTATTCCCTTTCTCCTTTCATCTTGTTCCTCCTCCTTCTTTCAACCTACTTCCACTTGTGGCTTTTCACTCAGCAAAAGAACAAAAAATTCCACCGCGTTAATCGTTTATTAAGCGCTTTACTTGAATTCAACAGGCAATTCTTACCAAGAATTTTTGGGTTCACATTCAATTGTCCCAACTTCGATCCTCCTCCACAATGGGTAACGTCAGTATTCCATCCCCTTCGAGCAATTCATTGAGTAAATCTAACATGACTGATCAGCTTAACGATTATGCACCAGAAGCTGCCAAGCAGTGGAACGTATCTGCAGGAAACACTTCACCCAAGAAGCTCCAAAGCGCCAGTCAAAGCAATGGATCTGCCGCGCAATCGAAGTCAACAGCATTGATGAAGCTTGAGCCAGACGTCTTATTCACAGAGTTAGTATAACCTCATTCGATTCTTTCCTCAGTTTTTACCTTCGATCTAACCTTTCGTGTGCAGCACAATGGGCATGGAAACAATTATGTTGAAGGTTGGACCGCCTGATGACATACATGGCAATATGGTCTTTTCCATCCACAAGAACTTGTTAATCGCCTCTTCGCGTCGATTCGAAAAGATGTTGAGAAAGACTGGACCTCTGGATCGCAATCAAATGTATTCCATTCACGACACAAGCCCTGCTATCTTCAAATACTTCAATGAGTATCTCTACACTCGTCGCATTCCAGTTGTCAGTCGCCGCATGTCTAAAGCTGAGCAAGGAACTCGAATTTTGGAGCTTTGTCAACTCTATGTCTTTGCGGAAATGTTTGAGATGGACAACACTTTTCTCAATAAGATCATTGATACAATTCAAGATGGTCTTGCTGTTAGTTCTACTCTTTTGACATTTAGTTTGGTGAGAAACATTCTTGAACACTCGAAGCCAGAGTCTCCACTTCGAAAATTCTGCGCCGCAAACGCTCTTTATTCTGCCATGGTTCCAGGCCTCGACACAACTGGATTCCAGTGGTTGATAAAAAATAGTGATGAGTTCTTTGCTGAATTCATGAAGATGCTTGTTAAGCTCACCAAAGGTACCGATCCTCGTGTTCGCGACGCCAAGCAAGAATATGCGAACGAAACCAAGATAAAGGAAGAGGAATTGGAGAATGGAGGAGTTGCTGTTGATGATGGTCCTGTTGCTGTTCCTGTTTTTGGTCCAGGTGTTCATCCATGTCAATTCCATATTCATGGTCGATCAGGTTCTGGTTCAGGAGCCGCTAATGGTACGGAAGATGACGAGATTTGCTACTTGTTGGCTGATCTAGAAGCTTAGACAAAGCAAAGACGACTGGATATTGTCATGAGTGCGCATTGAGGGATCTCATGTTAATACACGGCGTTTCTGGAGTCGAAGGCGGTCGGGAAGGAGCAAATGACGACGTACAAAGTAAAGCGGCGCTAGTGGATCTTAATATTTCAAGGGAATCACAGGAATCAACAGTAGCAGTCAGTTATCGGGAACATATCTGCTTCTTCCTTACATATCATACCATACAATGCATACAAAATATGAATGGATGATTTACCTGATCATCTTCTTGCTTTAATAACGTGAAATCTGAAGGTAAAAGTGGTTGTAGAGGCGAATGATTTTCAATGGCATGCAAGTAAATTCCAATTTGATGTGATTATTCTCAGAATTACAAGATTTTTAATAGATGACATGAAGAGTACGAAAATTACCCAGTCCATGCATTTATTCTATACCTTCATGCAAACGCTCTTTTATATCGCTCCATATGCCTATCCTTTTCCCAATGCATGATACGCAAAAACTGTGTTCTCTGCAGGCTGATCCAAACCGCTCTTGCCAGCTCTGATCTACTAGAAATTTATCAGTAGACCGCACTTTCCAATTTCTCCAGGGTCATCATGTTCATGAAATTCGCAACCATGGTCTCCAAATCTGCTACCTATGATAGTGGGATCGAACTGTCCCTCTGCTTCCCATTTCATACAAACAAACTCATAGTCTGGGCAGAACTCATCATTGTTAAAGTCTTGATTATAGTAAGCTGGCCAGTATGCATAGGTGCGCGCCCACATATAGTATGAACAATGATCAACCGCCGAGGCACCTTTCTCTACTTCATTTTTCAGCGTGAAGAGAGCATACAGACGTAAGGGGCTGAATCGTTTCGTATTCGCGTAGATTTCCTGGATCGCTTGGGGGAGAGAGTAGAATAAGCAGCAGCTTGAAGGTCTTGAATCTCGTCCATAATTTCGTTCATGAGTGGCTTTTCATCGACTAGCTCGACGGCGTAGTAAAGGTCGCGCAGATATTGAGCATGTTCTTCGAAAAGTACTCGGTCTGTATCGCGGCGGAATGTATGACTGGAATTGCTAATGAGGGGTGTGACAGCAAAGCGAGCTAGGTATCCACTGTATGAGTATGCACACAGAGAATCAAACATTTTCTGGGTCATGGCTGGGACTTCTAGAGGCTCATGTCTTAGTCGGTGTGGTCTGAAGAACTTGAAGTGATCACAGAGAAGGCCTCTGTGGGAAGTGAGCCTTATACCACCTTTGCCGATTACGACAAACTGGTGCATTGCTGTGAACAGGTTATCGTTCATGGTACTGAAATCCAGTCTTGGTGTTTTATATTCGTCTGGTTTGCTTTTTGGAACGTACTCACTCGAGGGTCAAGTCTGAATTGGCTTTGTACTGTGGGTGTTGTGGTACTTGGCCTGGCCTAGTCGACTGTGGGTATTGATGACGTGGGAAATCGTTCTTGATCTTGCTATTATCTTTGCTAGGGGTCTCAAGATCTCTGTAGAAATCGATCTTAAACTTGTGTCGGAGCTTCAAAGATTGTAACGAGGTTCGAAAGTGATAGTGTCGAAGATATATCTAAATGTCAAAAATAGCATCGAATTTTGGAAACATCGTAGTGAGATTCAACAAGGAATATTTGAGGTATATATAAGGAAATATTTAGCGGATCATGGTGAAAATGACTCAGAGCCTAATCACGAAAATATGAGCGTTAGCTCGAGTCTAGAGTATCCTAGAATATGAAGTCGTTGAACTCAAATGCTAGACTCAAGCTAGATGAAAGCTTGACTTCAGATTTTGATCTCCATGGACTTCTGACTTTCAATTTTTCCATTCCAGTGCCCAATGAAGCAATATCCACTGGTAATATTAACGGTATTGTGGAGTTAAAAGCTATGCTTTACCCAAAGTATCCCCAGATGATGGAGTTGAGAAAGAAGTATATAAAAACCCCACCATTTCGGCCAATCACTAAGCAATTAAGGTTAAGCTAATGCCAAATTTGACAAGATATGTAGAGAAGTCTTGATAGGAAAAGCGGGGAGAGTGTCGATTGTGTACAGATCTTCCTAGAAGATAGCCAGCCATTTCCTTAGACTATCACTAACATAAAGTTAATGCCCTAACACAAACTGCCGTTGTCGAACAACGCCGGAACTACAACATTGTCCGCTTAGCATATTCTCTCCAGATCCCAACAATCTCACCAAGTTTTCACTTTTCTTTTAGCTCATAATTGAAGATCTGCATTGCTGCTTTTTGTTCATCGTAGTCTTTCAACTCGTCATGTCGTTAGATCTCGGTAGCTTCAACGCCTAGCGCGAACCGAACTATTTTAGGCTGGCAGATCAAGGGTTCATAATTTTGCCAAGGCGGTGCGAATAATTTCCTGGATTCTTAAAGTTCTGGGAAAAGCAAACACGGTTCAACAAGCGTAAATCCTGAATTTATTTGCTGTGGCGGCGGTGGAATTCATCTTTGGACGAGGCTGTACCTACGTGTCTACATAGGTGAATAATGTCGAAAGTCCCTACTCTCTCAAAGATAATCGACTTTCAACGGTTGCTATCACTAACAGCTGATGGCTGCTCCTTTCAACTAGAGCATCGCAACCTTTTACAACCAAACGATCATCCACCGTCTTGAAGGTCTTGAGGTAGAAAGTAATGCAGGTGGGTTTTGGTTCCGAGAAGATCTAGTAATTTTCAAAAGTATGCAAAATCAGATTGTATCAAACATTAACTTATCACTAATAAGGCTCAGGACATCCATTCTCGATTGCCACGATGAGTTCCCCTTCCAGACCACCTCTCATGACTCCCGAGTAAGCCATTCCTATTCCTTTCAGTTCTATTAGATGATAGTACGATATTTCTTCGGCCGATAACTAACCTTCAAATATCAGGGCACTCAACGAAACCGTCATTTTATATGTTGGATCCCAGAGAAAGAAGTAAATTTTTCATAAGGAGGTGTTGTGCGACCAATTAGAGTTCTTCAATGCCGCGTTCAACAGAGGTTTTGAAGAGGCAGCCAGCGGAGAAATATACCTTCCTGAAGATGATCCTGCTACCTGTGCTGATCTTATCGAATATTTCTATCGTGGTACCCTTCCACATGCCGACAAAACCACCACTCGTCCCATGCAAGAACTTTACTGTCTAGCAGAGAAAATTTGTATGCCAACATTGATGGACAAACTCATGGACGCAATTATGGTAGTTCATAAGGAGAAAAATAATTTTGGTTTTGGTGCAGATCGGACTTAAAGTATATACGAGAATACTCACAGTACAAGTAAACTCCGACTTTATACCTCCGCTATGCTCGCTTTCAACATTCACTACGATTCCAACAGCACGGTAGCTTTTGGAATGTACTTTCCGCTCTCTCAAACTTGCCCGGAGGTCTTCACAGACGTTTTCGGATAATCTACATGTATAGACTATCTTTTATTAATTTTGGCAATCCACTGAATGGTGTTAAGGATGCTTTTGGGCGTTGTGGTTTCCATGTACACAGGTCGGATGGGGTCTGCTACAAGACAGTCTCGGATTTCAAGACAATAGGGTTCAATACACTGGAGTTCAAGAAATGAGAGTATGAGCTTGAGTAGACCCTTTGTACGAAGATATCTGGCACGAGTAGCAGCCGGTTTTGATCTCTACAAGTTTATGATCGTTACTGGGCAAAGGCGTGAGCTTCAAAGCACATTCTTAATCTTCATAAATGTCACTTGAGATTGTTTTCCCAACCAACTATCTCTGCTCCGGATTGTCGGGAGCTTCTTCTCCCCCACCATCTCATGTTCAAATTGATAAATTAGTAGGATCTACTGGTTTTGTATTAACATAGCGACGAGATCTCTTAGTAATTGTTAGACTACATTTATGAAACCATCGCTCACAGTAGTGACAACCCTTTAGCAGCCTCTATGTTCACACGCAAGATCACTTATAGGTCCGCTCTAAATCAGGGCTATCGAGTCCCTGAACTTTCATATACCAGATTAAGGATCTAGACCTCGCTTTAGCTGAGAGGATAATTTTGAGCTACTTCAGATAAAGCCGATGCAATGGCGTAGCTATCCGTTCCATGGGTTACAGCTCTTCATTCTCCAAAATCCCAACTTCACTTCAAAATAAAAGCTTTTTCTTATTTGTCAGATAAAATTGAGGTAGCTATTTCATTGTGCAATTGTCAAGAGATTAAGATTTATAGAGAGAATGAATGGAATTTCTAATGCTAGAGTGTTAACTTGTGCAGTTTGTGCCTTCATATGAAGCTCGCTAGAGAACTCCCTGGCAGATGTGGAGATGAGTGACTATAGAATTGTTCAGTTTTATATGATCTTTGATTTCTTGACTGGTACAGTCAATCATATTATATTTGATAGTAAATAAAGTGATCAAAAGAAGCTCTAAATCTTTGAAGGGCGATAGTTACTCGTGAGAGTGTCATCAATGCCACTGGACTAGAGCGGAGGGTGTATACGGATCTCCCGTCAGCCCCCTTTGGCGAAAATTAGATTGGAAATTGCATGGCTCCATTGTTTTCGTATTAATTATTATAGATTCAGTACATATCCTTTTTTTTCGCTGCTATACCTAAAAATCACTCTCTACTTCAATACTACGAAGCGGTTATGGCATAGCCAACTCCTCATTCTCGATTGCCGATGTGTTCCTTTTGTCGTGAAAGAATATACCAAGTACAATCAGTTAGGGGCGTGTATTGCACTTGTTTTTCTAGATCCTGTCTGAGTTCCGTTCCTTCCTCTCAACACCTGTTCTTTTTCTTTTTCGTTCTCCTCGTCACATAAAGAAGGGGGCGGGACTTTCAACATCTCCCTTAGTATCAAAGGCATCACTATCTAACATCAATACATCATAGAAACAATCAAAATGACTAATGATTCAATATGGCCTGTCATTGACCCGAAGGTCTATTACAGCATACAAAATAAATCCTTTACAAAAGCCCGGACACGATAATTGTCTCACTGATTCTGATACATTAATTGTGAGCAGAAAGGAATTTCGATTATCATGGCTCTACTATCAAAACACCACTGTATTTTCTCATCTGCTGAGGACGAATTGGATGTTTTCAAATGCGAATATGTTGATGTTGTCAAAGAAGTGGAAGGCTGTTTTCCCTTTGTTCCCCTCTGAACCGGTGGTCTTTGAGTTCTGGCTAACAGAACTAAGAAGGGAATATTGACAAAGAATCCAAGTCCTTTTCAAAATCAGCAGTATCAGAATCTTAACAGCTAAATGTACCTCAAGAGCTTTGGCAGTTTATCGAGGATACTAGCAACACAATGTCTAACCCAGCTCCCATACTAAGCATCGAAAAGCACTTTCGTTATGATTTGAAACCTAAAGAGAGGCTATTCAATGAATACTTCAAAGTATGGCAGACGAGAGAACCACAATGGAAAGATCGTCTTGGGGACGGATGGGTGATATCAAAAACTTTGGGTGCGGGCGCCGGGGGTGGGGCTTCACTTGTGAGTAATATCTTTGCAGGCAGGATCGAGTCCTAGAATTGGAGAATGGCTTCCAGACCAAAATACTTGGCTGATAATTTCCTTTGATAGTGGGAGTGGCGTGGTGATCCAAAGGCAAAAAACGCGCCGAAGTTAAAGCAAGTGGTTGTCAAACTTGTGTACGATGGCTATGAGGAATACCCAGACTCCTATACTGGTCTGCGAGGGGAAGCGGCTTTCTTAGACCTATTGAGAAAGATTCCCACAAAGCACATTGTTCATATGTACGGTCCGCCCAAAATGGATGACAAAGGACATGTAATGTATTTCCTCGAAATGTGCCCCGGCGGCGCTTTATCATCCTTACTGAACACACACCTCGAAGAAGAGATGAAGTTTCCTGTCTCGGAGACTGATTTGTGGTCGATTTTTTATTGTTTGGCTCAAGCTGTAACAGTCTTAGATCGTGGAACAGAAGATCTCAGCCAGAAAAGTTGGGATAAAGATGAGATTGGTCATTATGATATGATCACAAGCAATGGTAAATACTGCATTCGTCTTAGAGGCGTTGAGCGTTAGTAACAAATTGTCTTCAAGTACTTATTGGATATTGCGATAAAGTACATAAGCGCTGCCCTGTCATAAAGGTATGTACAATTATATTGTATAATCAAATGAAGCCAAATGCGCTAACCAAAGTGACTAATGACAGATTGGGGATTTCGGAGATGCAATGGAAGTTAGAAGAATAGAGCTTCAAACCGATGACACTGCCAAGATAGATAGACAAGAGAGGGGTGCCAGAGGATGTCGACCTCCTGTGAGAACTTTCAACATCGAGCTTTCGAAAGCAAAATGAATAGAGCTAATACCTCACATAGGAACAAAGACTAGTTGCTGTTGATCATCCCCGCCATGGAACTTGCTCTAACGTTTACATGGTTGGACTCATCATGCTATGCCTACTAGATAGCCAATTAGATATTTTTATGCCCTCCCGAGGTTATATGGTAAATTATAATGAGAGACTTAGAAGCGGCGTAACCAACGCATTTCATCTTGAAGAAGAGGATATCAAAGGTGCGTATTCGCAAATGCTCAGAGCATTGATCATGGAATGTTGTATGAAAGAGCCGCTACTACGACCTAAAGCAGTTGAACTGCAAGAAAGAACCGGAATGATGTTTCAGCTGGTCCAGGATGATTTGATAGCGGATACTGTTGGAAATTATGTTTGTCCTGGGTTGGGGACCGAAAATGTTTTACTGGAGGACTTGGAACCACCTAAAGAATGGCTGGTATGAGGATGACTTGTAACTGAGACTTTAGGCGTTTTCTTGCTTGTTTTCTGTTGCTGCAATCTTGTCAAAGTTTCTTTATTGGCTTTTTACAAATGATAAGAAATGCGAACAACTCAGTATTTGAATTTACTATATCTACATATGATGTTTCAATAGAGGAACTAGACTTTGATGTGAACGTATAGTATAGCTTCCGATGGGATAGATTGACCTACTAATAGTCAATGAGAAGTTCCTTGCGTTCTTTGATAGCTTAAAGACCTACGTATGACTACTCAGCAGAATTGCAATAAAATTCTCTGTCATCCTGCTATCTTTATACCTCTTCGAATACTATTATTTTTACCCTGGTTGAAATACGCAACCAATCAGGCAAAATTGTGCATCCAGATTCCGCAGTCTTGTGGTAACTTGGAAATCGATAAACGTCAGCACCGAGCCTGCGAACTGTTTGATGCATGTGACCCTGACACGACTGATACACGCACCATACAGTACACAATTCGACAAAATTCCAATAACAAACCACTCGATCATCTTCTCGGATGGCTTAATTCAACTGGACGCCGAAAAAATTGAAGACCAGAAGTCACAGATCACCGTATAATTCATCGGAAGAATGAACATGTTGTATTCAAGCGAGTGTCTTGTAGTAGTACGGTGATGCAGGACTGATCTTTATGGCGAGATACGCTCAAAGATCATAGTGAAGAAATGTCGCAATGAGTGATGTAGCTGTAGAGAGTAGCGAGCTTTCCAACCACAAAAATTTGGCTTATTGTTCTAAATATTAATAGATAGAAAATTCATAGCTGTTGGTCTTAGCTGTCTGATTTAGTGACTTCATTCTCGCTTACAACCTTATTCAGACGTTCTATCATGCATTAACGAGCACCTATGTGAACATTAGAACTTGCGGAACGAAACTGTCTTGGAGAGAATGGCCTGAAAAAGGCTTCAATGTTTTATCAAAAGATGATGATAGAGGTTGAAAATGAAAAGTAAATTATTTGTGCCCAAGAATGTTAACTAGATGATAGCACCAAAACACTAGCCACTGATGAGCCTCAAAAACATGACGGCAGATTAGATGATACTGATCAAGTATGAAATGAAACACCTTGATGATATTGGCTCACAATACACACAGCCTGCCCAGGTCTTTCAACCTAGGCAAAACGCATTTATCACTTTGAATACCACCCCAACCCCCAATGTCAACCGAACCCAAAACAAAACATGGAGACGACAGTATTCATTAGAGAACCCCAACTAAAACATTATCGTACTATCACCTTCGGCTACATTCATTTTCCTCGGGAAGCTAGCTAATATACCCTCGTTTCATCTCGAAGATTCACTTCAACTTCTGTTGCCTTCACTTCTAAATCTAAATCCATTCCGCTTTCCACCTGCCTCAGTTCCGCCCACGGTCAACTGTATTAAATGGATTTATTAGCCTTATAAAACATGCGCTAGTGTCGTCACAATTCGCCGTATCTATCATACCGTAAATACTTGAGCCTGCCACCCCATCTCCAAAAGGTTCTTAACAAGAGCCTCTTGTAGCGCTCCCTGTGAATAATCCAGGAAACCTCAATTACAACAACTACTTCCAGATATCAACACAATTGTTCCTTTCAACCAGAATTTGATCTCTATTATCATCAATTCGAAAGAATAAAGTATCTCAATCAACTTTGTCAAATTGTTCAACTTTCCTAACTTTATCATACAAACAAGATGCCTCCAAAGATCTCGAAAAAAAGATCCGTCAGTACTTCCGCAGAGTCACGTCAACCTAAACGCGCTCGTGTCGATCTCGCGTCTCCTACATCCGCTACCTCGATTCCTGTAGAGAACGCGTCGAGTAAGACTGAAAATAATAATACCAACAACGAGACTACCAAACCAAAACCGAAGCTGAAGATTATCCTCACGCTCAAACAAGATGCAGAAGCAGTCAAAGTGTCTTCGAAAGCGACCCCAAAACAATCAATTGAACCTTTAGAGAAAGCAACTCAGAACAAAGGTTCATCAACCAGGGTTAAATCTCAAAATTCTACCACAACTGGCTCTGTAGATAATGAGCCGAGCAAGAAGAAGAAAAAGTCAGAGGTAAAGGCAAAGACAACTCCAGTACCATCGAGCAAGCCACCCAAGGCGCTTAAAGAACAAACGGTCAGTCCTTCTGAAGAGGCGAAGAACAAGAGTTCTCCTGTTAGTGTTGAGTCTGACAAGTCCACAACCTCTGTCTGTGTGGACGATACACCGAGCAAGACTAAGCCAGAGACAAAAAAGAAGACAAATGCAGTACCTACCGTGAGGGAAATTATTACTCCAAGGCCTAAATTAGCCAGATTAGCATCAAAACTAGCACAATTAGCACCGGCACCACCAGCACAAGATGCGCCCAGCAAATCTGAGATTGCAGAAAAAGAAGTCGCTGCTATTCGGAAGCGATCGAACGATGTAGATGAGGCAATGATCAAGACCAAGACCAAGGCAAACACTATCGCTACCGCTACCGCAAACACAACACCTCAAACAAACCAATTTGTGTCCATCAACACTCCGCAACCAAAGCTGAGGACACGAAAACCTCCCAGAGAACTCGAGGATGGAGGAAACAATGTTGTCGATGGTCAAATACAACCAAATAATCCAGATGACGAGCTCGATTTAGAAGCTATCACCAAGGAATTAGATGCTCCAAATACGTTACTACCAAAATCACCGCCTCGAGACCCTGTCAAGCCATTTGGGCCCAGAGAAAAGAAGGCCATTACTATTTGGATGCGAGTGAACAACGCAGCTGGAACACGGGGTAACCTTGTAGCTTTCCAAGAGCTCTTATACTCTCTAGGCTGCCTAGACCCAAGTTTTGACAAAGATACCTTGGCGAATTTTTACCAGCGCATTGAGCGATACATTATTAGAATCAAGAAATCATTGAAAGAGTGCGGTGCAGTTTTGTTTCTAGAAGAAGATAAGCTGGAAATGGAACCGATCTTTGCGGATTGGACAGTCGTTTGGTTAGAAGAGGATTGGGATGGGGCTGTTGATACGAAAGTTTACTATACTGACAACTATCTTGAGAAGTACTCACCTGCTTTTGAAGGAGACGATGGAGGCGAGAGTGTTGCAGTAGAGCCGCCAGTCGACGAGCCATTCGAAGAGGAGGTGGAGATTCTTTATGTGGAGAATCCCGATGAAGTCGTTGCCAAAATCACCAACACTAACACTGGTAAAGTCAAAGTCCCAGTGTGTGATTCTAACCCTTACGGAATGGCAGATTGGAAATAAAGCGGTGAAGGCTCAAGAAATATGGAGAAATGGGAACTTTCCAAATTGTTTTGGCATTTGTTTTGCATAATTTGATATGATTGTGAGAGATATGGGACAATTGTATAGACTAAATTCAAACTTAAAATAATAATTTCTTACCAATACATGATTTGCGATTTATGTGAACTTTATTGAATCCGTCGTGACTCTCAATATTGTATAATATAACTGGTGAGACATTGAAAGTGCCGCATCATCAATCGGAGACTTCGAAAACCGCTTCATTCTGTGATACTGCTGAAGCACCATTGTGTATTGCAGTGCTAATTTAATGTGGGATGAGTGTGAAATGTCGTGTTATCCATTCGAGCAAGTGTGAGAAACAACTTCAGCTTCCGCATGGTTACTCTCTTCCTTTGGAGCTTGCAAACTCAGCACATTTTATTCCATACACTGTGACACTTGTTATCGGAGAGAAGAGTTATTACATGCTTACAAGATTGAGCCAAACTCCAACCCCAGATCAAGTCTCAAGTCGTCTGTTCGTATCGTACAATTCGTTAACGTCTAGGCCACCTCTATATAATTTTCTCAGCCTCCTCGACCAAATCCTCTACTTTGAAAGCCGGATCACCTCTTCCAAACATCTCCAATAGCCGACGTCTATCGCTCTTCTTCCCAACCGGACCATAAAACTTCTGCAAACACATAATCAACCATTTCGCTTCATCCACGCTCACACCTCTTCCTTCGACAACCTGACCCTGTAACAACACCAACCCTTTATCTTTCTCTAATTCTAAATGATGTGTGATTGTAGTATGCGGTTGACTGTATTCTCCTCTCAATTTATATTCCGCAAGATGTGTGAACAGGACAGTGACGGTATTCTCAGCCGGGAAAGTCCATTGCAAGAAATGAATTTCAGCACCCTGTCCCTCCTTTGGAAGTGGAAGAATAAAGTGAGGGAATTTCTTCGCGGTCTTCTCTATCGTTTTATATGTATCTAGGGGTATAACTGCGCACAATGATCTGGGATCGCTGGCATGTCGGTATCGCCAGAGTGCCTCAATCTTTTCTTGTGATAAATCGCGGACCTTCTCGAGATCAAGGTATGAGGATAAAGTCTTCAGCCCAGGAGTTGAAGAGGGCGCTTTCTCAGCTGGAGTTTGGGGCGGTGGTGGAGGTGCAGGAAAAGGTGACGAAGTAGTCGGGGATGGTGGTGGGGTGGGAGGGGCATTCGTAGGAGTAGGAATAGCAACAGTGGCTTTCTTTTTTAGCTCTTCGATTTTGGATTTGTAGGCTTCTTTTAGTTCATTGGCGTCTCGCAGACCTTCCCTATAAGTTTCATGAGCTATAGGCATACTATCTACTGATTTTCGGCTTCTTACTCTCTTGCTTTCTGTTCAAGCTTCTCCTTGTACTTTTCTAGCACTCTGTCTGATTGTTGAGTGGCCAAGAACCGGACATCATGAACTTGTGCCCATCTTTTTTGCGAAGCTCGCAAATAAGGGGGGGCACCAGAGATTATGCGACGGATCGCTGGTGAACGAATAATTGCCATGTTTTTGTCGAGTAACAATTATTATTTTGATCAATTTCGCAAGTCATAAACCTCACAAAATATCAATAGTGGTTGATGAAGTTAAATTATGATGCGGCCGCACCACCGAGATTCCGATTTACTACCCGACCTCGAGCCGACCCCGGATTTCGGGATGTTTCATATTATTGAATCCCGATGTGAAAAAGAAATCATAAAAAGTAAATCAACTATCTCGAGATAGATATCTGAATCATGCAATATTTCCGACAGAGGAAAAGTCTATAAATTTCAATATATACATGCATTTGGTCCCACTCTACAACTTCGCCTTTTCCCCTTCTTTTAATGCCTGATCCTTTAAAAGTCTTCTCAAAATCTTTCCACTCGGACTCTTAGGAATTACATCTACAAATTTCACTCCTCCCCTCAACCTCTTGTGACTCGCGACCTTTGCTTGCAACCATGCCATGATCTTCTTTTCCTCTTCTTTATCGCCCGCAACTCCTTTCCTTGGAACAATATAAGCTCTTGGTACTTCTGTTGCTTGTTCTTCATTGTAGATACCGATCACTGCAACATCGTCTATGTCTTCGTGAGAAATCAGGAGACCTTCTAACTCTGCCGGTGGCACTTGGAAACCTTTGTACTTGATCAGTTCCTTGACTCGATCAGTGATATAAAAATTGCCATCTTTATCCTGATGTCCCACATCTCCAGTTTTGAAATATTCATCCTCTGTTAACGCGTTCTTGGTACCCTCGGGATTGTTGAGATAACCTTTGAAAACATTAGGCCCCTTAACCCAAAGCTCACCAGTCTGTCCTGCCGGAACCTCCTTTTCTTCGGAGTTCATATACTTTGCTACTTGATTTGATAGTAGACGTCCGACAGAGCCCGGATATTTGTTCCAATCTTCCCAAGGCTGAATATGAGTGGTAGGACTTGTTTCGCTAAGACCATAACCTTGCTTGATTGGGATCTTGAGACGAGCATATACAGCATCAACAAGTTCTCGTGTCAATGGCGCCGCGCCTGAGCTCATCATCCTGACAGTAGATAGATCGTACTTAGAAACTACTGGGCTCTTTCCAAGCATGAGAACAATAGGGGGAACCACGTAAGCAAATGTAACTCCAAAGTTCTGTATTGTTTGGCAAAATTTATCCAACTCGAATTTCTCCATCACAATGCACTCCAAACCCATATAGAGTGAAAAGTGAATAATGCATGTCAAGCCCTGAAAATAGTTAGCAAAACCGGCAACCTTGCGGAAGCGAAGTGACTTACATAGATGTGGAAAAAGGGGAGAACGGCCATAAGTTTGTCTCCTTTGCCATCCTTTCCGCCTTTCCAACTTAGATTGCTCCCCTCAGCTGCGTTTGCCATGGAGGTATTCGCAACAATGTTTCCATGCGTAAGCATAACTCCTTTTGGGTGACCAGTCGTCCCACTACTGTAAACCAAAAATGCTAAATCCTCTGGCTTACTCTTCGTCCTCCTATATCTTGATGTGCCAGCCAAGTTTCTCACATTCGTAAAGTGCTTAAATCGGTGCGTCTCATCCCTTCCATCGCCCACCAAAATTATCCTATCTTCGGGTATACCAGCATTTTTAGCTGCTGCTTGTGCTTCTTTTAGGAAAGGCTTCTGTGTAACAATTCCCTTTGCCCCGGAATCCTTCAATTGAAAAGTCAATTCTTCGACAGTGTATCCGGGATTTGCAGGAGAGACTATTCCGCCGGCCCAATGGGTTCCCCAAAGTACAGCAGGGGTGTCGATGCAATTTGGTGTGTAAAGTGCAAGCACATCGCCTTTCTTCCATTCCCAAACAGCTTTCAGACCTTTCCCAAACTCTATCGCGGTATCTCGCAGTTGCTTGTAGTTATATGACCGTGACGTCTCGGCATCCGTGTAAATTGCTGGAAAAGCAAACAGTCAGTCATTGATCTTTGGAGAGTGGTTTCCCAAAATAATAATTAATGCTGCAAAACGTAATCGATACCTTTATCATCAGGATATTCTCTATCTTTTCGTTCGAAAAGAAACTCCCAGAGATCCACCTGTGGGATATCCAATAGGGGGTATGTTGATGCGGTAGGCATATTTTGTTTGTATTTGTAGTATCGATATGTCGACAAGTTACCAATTGTAAGAAAGAAGAAAAAAAGTAATGAACTATTATAGAGGTATCTATTGAACAAAAGGGTATATAGAAATTAAAGCAGAGCGGAGGAAAGTAATGCAAACTCACCTACCTAAATACGTTACCGATTAATAATATGGTTGGCTGGAGATATGCGGTATCAGGATTGACTTATCCATCACAACGCCTTTGTGGAGAAGGGACCACTCAACTTTCTGCAAAGCCGAAACACCGAGGTAACATTGACTTTTCCCCAGATCTTGGCTTGTCTCAAGCTCGGTTAAAGTCACGAGTTTTCGGATATCATCGACTTGCTCCTTTGGTAACCGTCCTGATTCGATTACTAAACAAATGTGACGTACCTAGGTACTTACAGAGGTCATCAATTTTGGAGATTTTTAGAATTGCTATTCAAACAAAAACTGGTCAAGAAAGTGGCAAGAATTTTTCACCTAAAAGTAGAATATATAATCTACTTCCTCTTGAAGAATCTGAAATGCCTATCAAAAAAATCTCCCCTTGTACTTCGGAAAAATAATAATAACTAAGAACTCGTCCTATTCTAATTGGACATCAACTGTTCAATTCAAGACTACTTTGTCTAGACACTCCAACAGGACAGCTCATACGTCCGCAGATTTGAATGTTCTAGCAGTATATAAATAGCAGAGAGGTTAATGCTAATAAGCTTGTATCGGGCTCGGTAGAGTAGCTCGGCATTCCAGAAAGCTAGGCGAGTTTGAAGATGACTAGCAGGTACCTATAGATGGGTTCTTGATCCGACAAATGGAGAAAATCTCGAAAGAGGATGCCGAATTATCGAATCGAGACTATCAACACGTATATTTCTCGACAAACAGGGAAGCGCTGGTCGAGATTCTGCACAGTATCCTTTTCATTATATGAAGAAATTTAGATTTAGCAAGTTTAATGGTAAAATGCAAGGGCATATCATTAAACTACTCAAATAAAGTCGAATGAAGACGTCTTGTCAACATAAAGATCATCCTCATCGAAGCCACTGATCCCTTGATATCTACTTTATCAAAACCCCAACCCATCCTCGCATTTCTACAGGCTGGCCACAGGGATTTGCCAAAACGCATATTCAACGTATATGCATTGTTCGCAAGATTGTTGAAGATAACAAATGTCGGTTATCTGGGGAAAGCAGAGTCGAAATACATCTCGTGTCGAAATCTCGGGGTTGCCTAGTACTACTTTAATTAGTCGACATTATAAATTGAATGGAACGGATCATGTAATCTTACCTACCGTATTAACTTTAGTCTCCCCTTTAGATATACAAGAAGTTCTGTGTCAAACTTCGCTGAATTCGATAAATCTTGTTTTGCCCCTTCGGAATTTCAAGCTTCAAGTCATCTTTTTCTTTTTGTACCTCCGCCTTCCAATCTAGCATCTCAGCCTGATGATCAAGTCGCTCTTGAGTGAGCTTCTCATCCGCCTTTCCCTCAAAATCATCCACCTTCATCTCCATTCCACTCATCTTGATCTCCATGTCCTTCATCTGAATTTCCAAACCAAGTTTGTCCACTCTCTTAACCATCTTCTTCAATTTCATCTCCAACCTACGCCGACGAAACACTAACACCATTACCTGTACAAATTTGACAATCAGGTAAAAGCCGAACAAACCCCCAAATACCAGCGCAAGTAAGCAAAATGTAAGAAAGTACATTATAGGGTCGTTGCTGCGGTCAACGAATATCTCACTTCCGGAATCACACAGCGTATCAGGACTGGGTAACTGGGGAAGCTGGCCGTCAAAAGAAATATTCAAAGCCGTTTGTTGAGTTGTTAAATTCGTTGAGACACTGTCGAAAGCCGATGCGCTTATTTTCGTGACGTTGATAAATTTTATTCGGTCCATGTTGCTCTTGATGTTGCGTTAAGACTTTCTGCAGTTTGATTGTTTTTTTTGCAGATGTTGTTGATTTCCTTATGTAAAGCCTTGGAGGCCACACTTCACGAAAAGATTTTGAAACATGTTAGCCGAGTGAGCTGCAAGATCTAGGGCTGATTAAACCCTATTGAATTATTATTCACTGTGTTGATTGAACTTAGATTATTCCATCTCATTCTATGAACATGCATGCTTAACTTTTAGCTTCATGAACATTCTTGAAGAGTATTGATATCATGGCCTTCGACTACACCACCTTGACATATTTTTTATTACCAATTCACAAGGCGTTACAGTCGTATTCTCGCATTGATTAAAATTTTATGACTTATTATCTCATGACAGATATCTTCACTAGTATTTCAATCTGGCCACAAGCACCAAATCAAGAAACAAGAAATGGATTGAAGGAGTCCCCCATGATGTTTTTAAATTCTCGAAACCAAATCTAGACCAAGGTAACGTTTCTTAATATAATAATAACGGATTGGCATGGCAGTCCACGCGAGTTTAAAAGTATCCAACTCCCAAATCGATCCTGACAGCTAGTCAGTCGATGTTGTAGCAAGATAAAAATGAACAAAAATGTTATACCTTCAAGTTCCAACATTCGTAGTTCCAGCTTCATCTCTTCATTCTCACACTTGATCATCCATCAGACTTCCAAGTTTGCATTCATCCCCATGTTGTACCTCCCTGGTACCAGAGCTTCCATCTTCATCTCCATCTCTTGATCCTCCACATTCATCCAAGTCTTCCTTACCCCTCGCACTTCCACTGGTTCATTCTCAAAGTTGTACTCCTTCCTCCAACCATACCAGTATACATTGACACCATTATAAAGAACCATCATGCCAGACAATACTTTCTGTTCGGTAGTCTGTGAATCGATAAGCTTCAACGACGAGTCGATTGTGAAAAGGATGTGTCGGAGAAATTTGGTCGAGTATTGCTCGTTGTCTGAAATCGCGGGGCGTGTCATGCTGTATGCTGGGTTTGTGAACTCCATGTATATATAAAGAAAGAGAGAGCAAGCGTTGACAGCGGGATATAGCACTGGAGAATTTATGTCGAGAAGGAATACAAATATGGAAAAGAATATCTTGAGAGAAAGTTTTATCGGATAAGAAGAGTTTACTTGGACTATAAGTCCAGTCTGGTTATGGCCCGAAGAATTCAAGGAATTCATGGTTACTGGATCATGCAGTGAATTTCCGCGAGAGATGGTTTCCAAAAGTAGCTGTAGGTTTTGGGTCCAGCCGTTGAAAGCACTATCGAGGAGTTTGTTGTGATATTGCCCGTAACTTGGTAGACGCCTTTCAGACATTTGATGTTTTTTGAATTGTGTGATGATATTGAGAATTTGTTGCAAAGGGTTTTATTACATTGAATAAAATTCCATAGAGTTCGGTGACCAAATAGATGCGGCAGAAACACATCGAATTCACTAATACTACAACCAATAATTGCTTGACTATTAGAGGGCTCTTGATTTCCAGATATTTCGAGCTTTGTTCAATTCATAGAACTTAATAGCAGCAGAGTAAATCGTACCAATTTCTTGATGCATCGAAAATATTAACAGCTTTTGAAACTCCGAGCCTAGCCAGGGTTGTACTTTATGTAATATTAGAATCACTAAACTCTAAGATTTTATATTATGATTCTACCCTGACAGAGGAAGATTGAAACGACACCTCGAGAATGACTAGAGTACGCTCTCAACTTCTCAGATAATAGTACCACTAGTGTATTATCTCTGAGCTTTTGATTTTCTCTCTTCATTCATTCAAGCATACCGAGAAAACTAAACGGTATCATCGCAATAATACGAGATTGAAATCAAGAATCGATAGAAAGTAGTGGGAAGACTGAAGTCGAGAAAACTGTTTGGGCGGGATCCATACTAGCTGTACACCACGTATATTTTCACTTATACTGCGATGCACAGTCTTCAAGATTCCATATCATGAAAATAAGACACCATCATTCAAAATTTTAAAGATTTGATCGTAATTTCATGAATGCTAGTGATTCAACTGTCAGAGAAGTCAGAGAATAGTAAATCTTGAGCAAGTTGCTCCTCGCTTAGCCCCTCGCAAATAGGGTTCTACAACCCGATAGTACACCAAATGACAATAGTAAACAAACCTACCAATAAACCCGATACGATGACCTCATAATGCACATTAATTGTACATCACCCCCAAAACTGGCAAACAAATCATGTGCTGATATCACACATCCGAACAATTCCAAACCCACTTCTTCGGAAACAGCACCCGGAAACCCTTCGACAATCACTCAGGATACTTAACCTTATCACAGCAATGCATTCAAACACAGCCTACATATCTTCCAGTAAGAACATTAATTTTTAAATGCCTCATATCAGCACTAGTGGAAAGTACTTTAGCGAGTACGAGGAAGATCAACGGAGGTGACCATTTAGAGAATACATACTACTCTGTCCTTCAGGACAATTGTATGTCTGCATTATGCAAATAACAATCTCACAATTTTCTAATAATTTATTCGACTGTATCTATTCTCATATTCAATTGATCAATATGATTGGGTGCTATCTCGAGTGGTGGATTTCACTCCAGCTTGTATTTTCTCCACCCGTGTAGATTCATCAGAAAGCTTGATTCAGGAGAAGATCTGACTAGCATCAGGCCCCTTTAAAGCCGACAAATCCACTGATCTCTTCTGCTGGGGTGATTCCGATAGCCGTGTAATTCCTCGGCCAAAGAAGTGGACCTTCTGCAACCAATATGATAAGCTAGAAAAGTGGATCAAATTGGACAATATCACCGGAAGGCATGGGAGGAAAAATAACAGACGTTCAACGAAAATACGATATGTTGCAAGGATCACATAACTATCCATCTCGGCGAACTGCCTATCTTGGCACGGGGAGCAAAACACTTCCTGTTTTGCCCCGCTTGTGTCCTTGTCGATAGCTAAATTGTATCTTACGTACAGCACTAAAAGTCAGCAAGCACAGTCAGATTTTTGAAAATGATTCTCACGATATAGTATTTTTTGCGCAGTATATTAGAAATTGGATGGCTGATCAGTAAAAAAAAAAATATCAATGATAACCACCACTTACGACCCAAACTGTCGGGCGTACGCTAGATTAGCTAATGTTCTTCTCGTCTTGTATATAGACAGATCATGGCTACCTCTATAGACTTCAAGCATCCAATGCGCTTCCTCCTCTTATTCCTCTCTTACCCCAATATGAGCAAAATCCCCCAGCCTTGACCGTGTCGAAAACACCCATTAGAAAGTATCTACATACATCTCCTATAGCCATCACATTATTCAACAATGGTTCTTCGCTACCCAATGCACTCCCGAAGATACAAGTTCCTCAAAACCACAATATGTCTCATCCTCACATTCCTCCTCGCAAGTAGAATCCCTCTTCCCAATTTTCCAAAACGCCGCTTCGATACCTGGGCCTGGGATCGCAGCTGTCACAAACTATCCCCTTTCAGTAAAACATGTACGGCCTCGCGAGCTTCCATCGCATCAGATGTGCAAATTGTGATAGAGACCGGCGGCTCGGAACCCCAAAGTAGACTTCAATACCAACTTGCGACGATGATGTCTGAGGTTCCTCGTCAGAATATTTTGATCTTTTCGGATTTGGAAGAAGAGGTTGGTGCTTTCCATGTTCATGATGCGCTAGCAGATATTTCAACACGGGAACGAATGGATTACCCTGAATTTGCTTTTTACGATGAATTGCAGAGGTATCAACAGCTGGAGAAAGATACTCGGGAGCTTAAAGGGGGATGGAAATTGGCTAAGTATAAGAATATGGCTATCAAGCGAAAAATTTGGAAGATGCTGGAAGAGACTGGCAGTGCGCTTCCAAGAAGAAAATGGTATGTGTTCATCGATACAGACACTTTTGTCGAGTGGGACAATCTCCTTGTGTTATTGGAAAATTTAGACCCCCAGAAGAAACTATACATAGGAAGTCCTGTCTGGGCTGATCCTAAAGCACCATTTGCTCATGGCGGTAGTGCATATGCTCTCTCATATAGTGCCCTGGAGTCACTTAATATGCATGGCTTGGACGATGATATAAGACCAATGTATAGTCAATTCGGCGTGAACACAACAGCCTTGTGTTGTGGTGATGAAGCTCTTGCGAAAGCACTTAAAGAGATAGGCATTAGGCTTAAAGGCTATTGGCCAATGTTTAACGGAGAGGTGCCGTCAACTGTTGGTTTTGGGAGCGAAATCTGGTGTGAACCAGTACTCTCCTTACATCATATCACTGGAGCAGGCATGGAAGACTTGTGGTCATGGATCGAGGATTGGAAAGCCCGCACAATGAGCATGGTATATAAAATTTTATTTATCCCCTTATATCCCGAATATGTAACGAAAATAGAACGCGTTATGAACGCGGCGGAACTTCCCCAATCATCCGTGAAACGTCTTGTATAAATTACATTACCAACACCTCACTTGACGTCCAAATCTTACTAAATAAATCCACGTAGCAACCATTCCTCTTCAAAGACCTATTCGAATACATCGCACCTCAACTAGTCCCTCAAATGAACGATTGGGAAAACACAGACGAAGGCTGGAAAATATATTACAATAAAGGCACTCCAGTATCCTTCTCACAATGCAAAGCAGCCTGTATCGCAGACAAGCTATGCTTTCAATTCGTTTCTCACGGCTCTACTTGCGCATTGTCCCACACGATCCGGATCGGCGGGAAACGATTACCTAAGAATGAGGACGATCATAAGTATATCTCAGGATGGAATTTGGAGAGAATAAGGGAATGGACCTCAAAGACGAAGTGTACCAGTGCGCATTGGTTGCATTCGAATCCTTGAGTGAAAGTATTGATATGCTTAAAGTGGAAACGAGAAGCAAGGGTAGAAACAGCGATGACCAAGCGGATTGAAGATCCCAGGTTAAAAATAAGGTATACAAGACATGCCTCCTCCGCTCTCTATGATAGAAGAAGGGGAGGATGCCCAAGGAAGAAGATAGGCAGCTTAGGAGGAAAGAGGAAACTTCAAGAAGAAACATCTAGAAGAATTCAGGAAGCAGGAAGAGGAAACGAGACCAGAAATTCACTTAAGTATGAGGTAATGGTCGGAAACCGCAGCTATTAAACGAAAAAGTATGTGCAGAACATATGACAATTATCTAGACAACATTACAAAGTATACAACAAACCAAAAAGATAAGCTGACTCCGCAGGAGAAAGTAAGAAATTCAAGAGCTTGATACAAAAGAAAAGAGGTAAACGAGTGGAGATAGTATACATCAATCACATACTCAGATTCCACACTTTTCTATTACATTCTAATTGCAAGTCTATAGCTACTATCCCATTATTATCCTACTCCTCCATTTTCCATATCTTACACCCTCAATCTTACTCTTCACGACTACCCCAAGCGTCTTTCTCCAACTTACACCATGGCTTTCATCCCTCCATTTTTCTCATCCCCAATGGTACTCCCCACCATCTCATCGTTTTCCCTCCCCCTTTGCTCTCCCAGGGTGATATGAAAAGAACATCTATTCAAATTTCAAACCACATGTTCATTTGATATCAAACCACTATAAATAGTGGAACATCAGTTGCGTATCCAATAAATGATTGATTATTTAGAGTCGTATTTTGTAAAGAGAGAATATCTCAATAACTCGTGATTGCTATGATTGCAGCGCTCTCTTGATTTATTCTTGATACAGTGTCAGTTTGAACCTACATCACTGCCCCCACTCTCCATCTCAGCCTCAGACTCTCACTCACATCACCAGTATCCTCACCCTCAATCCTACCATACAAGCCTCCCTATTCCCTCTATCCATCGAACCTCAGCCGTATCATCCTCAAAATCTCCTCTCCAGCCAATGCCCCTTCTAAAGCCGGATATGCAGGCCCCTAACTATCACCTTTGTTAATACCGATCATACTGCTGCAGAACCCATCATCGAAAACGACATATGGAAGTATCCACCAGTAGACTACAAAGAAACTTGCAATTCTCATATCATATCTTACACGTCAACCATCAAACCCCAAACTTTACAAAGTCTTCACCACAAACAACATAAACTCACTCGATTCCCATCACCTCACATCAAATCACTTCACAACATCACATCACTTCGCAAGATACACACCATATCACCTTACTCATACCAATGATCCTCAAACAACAAACTCTATTCCTCAATTACTAAAACCTCCGTTCTCTGAGCCCTCAAAAATCTCCCTCTCCCAAGAAAACCAGCCCCAGCCCCAAACCCGAACATACAGGTCTCAAAATTCATCCAGAAAAGGCCTTATTCCGAATTACTAATCGTAACCCATTAGTCCCAGGTCCCAAGGAAATCCCCAAAAGATATCGATTCTCATATTCTCTGATACTAGCCAGATTTCGACTTCATTTCGAAATCTCGTTTGTTGTTCAAAAGTTTTTTATGCCCACCCATTTATCCATCGACCACATCAACATCAATCTACGTCTAGGTCCGAGTCCGGCGTATTTCAACTCAGTCGAAAAAGGTGCCTTCATCCCCACTCACCCCCATCCCCATCTCCTTCTTTTTATTCATAGTCACCGGCAAGGATAAAAAGAAGAAGGAAGAAAAAACTTGTAATGAGCAAGTTGTTAAGGAAGTCGTACTGTACTCGTCAGCACAGCACTCATCCAATTCATCTTGAAATAGAAACTCTAAGAAGTTAAACTACTTCTTCCCGCCCCCATTTCAAGTGAATCTGCTCATTCGTGAAATGTCTCTGTCTAGATAGACCATTTCACAATAGTGACTGCAGATTGGCCAAGGAAATGTGCACCTGTTGGCACAGCACTACCCTAGTTTGTCTTGAAATAGAAGCAAACTGAAAGTAGTCAGATTACCTCTAGTTACCTCTATTCCAATAGACTCTTATCAACGCGGAAGATACCACTTCATCCCTAGAATCATCATAGTCACACCATCTGACGATAGTGATTATAGATTGATTAGAGAAACAGATTGGCCAGAAAACCTTGCCCTCATTGGCACGTCAGTATACTGATCCTTCTTGGAATAGTATTCGCGTAGTTGTTTTAATCTGCCCTTTCCCCACCCCTCCTTGTCTTGATTGAGTATATTTTATGATTTCTTATTCTACCGGCTTTTTTCCTAATGCCCCATGGCGTTGATCATTTCGGAGGTTTCAGCCTTCTTTTTTTGTGCTTTGTTAATCTTTTTTTTTGCTGGAAACCTTTAGAGAAGCAAAATAGGAATCATAAACACACACACAATCACCCCCAACCAAAGTCACATTCCATCGCCCTGCGCGATCGTGACTATCATCAAGAACATGACACCAGTCCTTAGAAAGATTTCTACAAGTCGTCTATTGTGATAAATAAGATCTAGTGACATCCTTCCCGTCTGAGTCCATTCTATATGAGTGGGAAATTGGTTAGAATCCAATTTCTCGCCCATATGAAGTATCAACTACAGCTAATCAGTCAAAGGTCATCACCCAATAGACAAACTATTCGCAGAAATTTACAAGATTTCTGTCAATCTTCATACTGGCGTCGCTTGTTCCCGACAAAAGGTAATGATGGTTTCACACTCACCACCACAGCACTGGTATTTAGTGCATTCAAAAGTGCAACTTTCACAACCCCTCCTTAAGAAGCACCAATGAATCCTTTGGTTGCGCCAATGAATATGTACGTACATGGATCTGCAGTGGTGAAGTTCGAAAAATTTGACTAATCCGTGGCAGGCGTGACCATACCTCTTCACTGGTCCCCTTAGTTGTGTGGCTACGGTGGAAGAAAGTGTGTTGTATACTGATGCGGTTCCAGGCAACTCAATTCTAACCTGGTAGCTGAATCTTCTGGGGCCTAGTCCCCAACGCTGGCTCCGGAGCAAAGTTGACCCACCATCTTAGTGAGTCACTTACTATCACGCTTATCTCCTTCAGAAAAGATTCCACAAATAAGGTTACAGGCGCTTACGTACGCCGGGGTCCATCAAAGACTCTATCGTTCGCCTAGCGCCCGTCAGGCTATTCAGACAGACTCTGAATGCCCTGTTACACTACTATCTTTATGCACTGTACAAATTCAAATGGCTTAGGTCTTTTAACGTCATACCCAGGACAAAATAACATAGCATAAATTTCAAATAACGTAGGCCTCTTAACGTCATGCCCAGGACAAAATCAAATGGCACACTTCGTAACTTTCAGAAAGTGTACAGTGTGGAAAGATTAGGCTCTCATTCTCATAAATGAAATCGTAGGCTGGAAGATTGCCTGCGCGATTTTCCATCGTCCAAAGGCTGCGAGGTTTTGTGAAGGTGTGGGTATTACTCAGTTCACGTGGCGTTCGGAAATAATTCAAGACCCCGTGCTCAATCGTTGAGTATTCCAAAATTCAACCAAAGAATTCTCCGCCTACTAACGTCTCCCATGGTTTCCCAGATTCCCAGACCTGCTCCATCAATCTCCGTGCTTTATGTGCTTGTGTCATTCCGTATCTCTCAACCCTATTCATTCGTTCGAGAATATCCGATCTTTGTTTCTCATCCCATATATCACACCCAGCTGTGAACATGGGAAATAACAAGCATGCTTCGGCACTACTTCCTTTCCTAATCTTGTTGAAGGAGCCAAGTATCTCACCAACGGCATGCTGAACATCCTCATGAGCTGAAGGTTTTCCCAGTATCCTGCGATGTAGATGAACTAGCCCAGCAGAATGAAAAGCTTCATTGGTTGCAGCGACCTCAAGACTATCCCAACCATATTCTGCTTCAGACTTAGATTGCATGTGAGTGCAAGGTTTCGCTGGGTGACGCCGCGACTCGATGAGATCTGCTTCCAGTTTGTGCGCGCGGCTCACAACTTCATCGGATGGTTGCCATTCTTGTTTAATCGTTGAATCAGGATTAATGCGACGTTCGTCACATTGACGTGCAAGATTGGCAACTTTGGCAAGTATTCGGATGCAATGACTAGTGAAACCTAAAATACAGTCAATCTGGTAACCATCCTCTTCATCTTCTGCTTCATAATCCAACATCCAAGCGGACGAAAGGTTCTGTCCTCCACTCATACTGCCAAGGACATCCAAATATGCAAACCAACTCCATAGGAAAGACGAGACTTTATCTTTCCGGGATATAGTTTGCATACGATGAGCTCCACCCCTGGCAACGAGCATTTGTCGTGCGAACTCGAGGTGTTTCTGCCATGGAACGGCAACTCCAAAGACCTTTGGAGATATTATTTCCAAAGATGCGAGCATGATCACCGTGGCGAGGTTAACATTCGATGTGATTTTATTTGGATCATCGAGCGCGTGCCTAAGGTTAGGAAAGATGTCTTTGACCCATAGAGCTATACGAGTCGCAGGCTCTGGTTGTCTTAGAAGTCTGGCCCGATGCGTGGCAGAGTATGCAAGTAGAAGATGTAACAAATCATCGTCTCGAACCGCCATCTGCGGTAGAATACTCCGGAATGGATTAGAAGAACAATTGTGTGGTATTAGACAGCCTGCTGTATGATCTAGAAAATGATGCTAGGATAGGTTAGTTGTACAGCTCAAGCCAGTATGCGTAAAGAGGGCTTACAAAATACTGTTATGCAGTTAGTGGTGAACTAAGATAGATAATGAGAATACTCACAAGTAGATTCATAGGATTTTCCAGTAATTTTGCAGGCAGTGGTTGAAGTACACGAGGTATACATATCGAAACCGGTTTGTCGTAATATCCAACTTCAAGGGCTGTCTCATTGATTTCCATGCCGAAGCCAAATTCCACCGGCGATAACTCCCCTCCATTATCTGAATCATAGTCCTGGTGAATTCCCAATAGCTTGGGAGACGATTCTGATATTGCATTGATGTCATCATTCTTACCAATGTCCAAGTCCATCAATCCTCGATCAATCCCCCATGTTTCTGTATCCTGGTATACATCATGCATGTACGGTGTCCAATCCTGACTTTGGTAATCCCACCCTCTCCCATTGCTGGGTTGTTCAGAGGGTGTTCCATCAAGCGGTCCCGACAACAGTGAATTTACCGAGAGTCTGCGTGAGAATTCACGGCTTGGTCTAGCTTTGGCCTTATCAATATCCACCCCGCGCATTGATTCAGATTCTACCTGGGAAGTATGAATGGTTGTGTTTCGAGAGTCGTAGTTGGGATCCGGATTGGACACTAAGGGAGGAAGCATTCGTGCACTATGAAGTGAACTGTCGTATCGTGTGCGTTTAGCAGGTCGATCTGCTATAGAGCTCTCAGTCGCTGGTGTTCCGTAACCACTTCCGAGATATGGAGGAGTTGACAATGGACTTTCGGTACTTGGGAGTGCGCTTCTGTTTGAAATTGGACTTCCAGATTCATCCGCAACTTGAAGATGACCGAATATCGACAGGCCAGGTGACTGGGCTGAGAGTGGAGTGATAGAGGTACTGGATTGATATCGTTCAAAGCTTTGAGGGTAGTGTTGGCTTTGGCGACCATAATCTTTGGGCAATATATCTTGGAAAGTTACAATGGGTGGATATGCAGGTCGGATCAAGGCGGGATCGATCATCGATGTATCGGCTATACGTTCCCCAGACGCCCTGTCGTCGCGACTTGAATGCTCATCACGATGCGCAGATGCTGCGGGGAGAGATCGGAAGCTAGTAAATGACCCCGAAGCCGAAGGGTTGTTACTTGCATTTGGAGTTGTTTGGTTCGAGGTCAAGAAAGTATTCGGCCCAGTAGTAATGATACCATTCTGAACCCTTTTCTTGCCTCGACCCTCCCAATTCAATCGTATACTGTAATCGCAGATTTCGTTCAGTTTCGAACATTTCACACAAGTTGGGCGAGTTTCGTCGCATTTAACTTTGCGAGCTTTGCAGGGCCTATGAGTGATATATATATTCAGTTCCAAAATCTATGAATCATCATTACCATTAGCGTACCAACATCCATTCCTACTCCTTCTCTTAGGTTCTGGTGCTCCCACTTTCTTTGGACGTGGCATGATGACAATGAACGAACAGCGTGTAAACGAATAGCAATACCGGTTTCCGACATTGACTTAAGTTGGTAGTATCTGATTTGTCGCGGATTTTTGCCATAAGTAGAATTGGATTTGAATTTAGACTTGGTAGATGGTATTGTTGAATGTGTCTGTATCAACATACTAACGATCAAAATAAGGGAAGACGTCGTCCCAAGGAAAAGCGATCAATATGGACGGATGGAATTTGAGTAGAATTCTGGATTTCCAAAGAGGGAAAGGACTAATAAAAGTTTAAGTTGAAGTCTACCTAGGTAGTCAAGTGTTTAAGTGCACTTTGCAATTGAAAATTGGTAATAGAGCCTTGGACAATTGAGGGATGGATGAGATGAATGGATGTGATGGATAGATATCTGTGGAGAAGATGTGGAAAGGTGGGGAGGAAATAAGAAGCTTGATATATTTGCGATTAGATAATAGATATGATACACTTTTGCCAATACACCCTAACGCTGATAAGACCAAACATCTAACCATTGATCAACAATTGACCAATGATAGTTCATACGTTTGACTAATGACGGATTAACATCAAGGATAATTGATCAAAGTGGGTGTACTTGCTTACGTCCTAGCTTGTCGCCGTTGGTAATAAATCTCCTAGTAACTTCACTTATAATCTTGGTATTTTCTCTCAAGCTACCTAGCCTTCCTAGATGCATACCTGACTCAAGGTCTCGAATGGTCCAAATCCAATACCGGTCCAACAATTGCGTCCTGTTCTCCTTTATATAATATCTAAATGATATCTATATTGAGGATTTTGATATCTTCCTCCGGTTTCTCTTTATACACTCGCGTATTTTCAATCTTATGAATAACATCTAAACCTTGAATTGCCCTTCCGAAAATGGTATGTTTGTTGTCTAACCATGGCTATATGGAGAAGAAGAAGAATGTTAATTAGTACTTATCACGTCTTACGATCGGTTGAAGATCTTGAGGTCATGTTGTGAACTTACAGTCTTTTCCGTGGTAATGAAAAATTGACTACCATTGGAGTTTGGTCCCGCATTCGCCATACTAACGGTATAAGGTTTGTCGTGTCGGAGAGAACTAAATTCATCGGCAAACTCTTTGCCCCAAATACTTTCACCACCAGTACCATCTCCTAATGGATCTCCGCACTGGATCATGAATTTTCGAATGACACGGTGGAAGATAGTATTATTGTAATAACCTTGTTTCGAATGTGTCACAAAATTCTCAACGGCTTTGGGGGCTGCATCGGGGAATAAGCGTATATGAATATCTCCGTATGTGGTGTGAATAACAGCCGCAGTCCCAGTTTCGGCAGCTTTTGCCTCTGCTAATTTCTTCCCATTTGTGTTGGTGGGTTTCTCATTTTGAACATCTCGTTCGGACTTGGAGACTTCTTCATCGTTTGTGAACATGTAAAATCGCACTTTTCCAACTCCGGTCGCAAATAATATCGGATCCCGAAGTTCGGATTCCTGCAGAAGAGGATTGTTGGACGCTGCCATGGCAATCGTTGTGACACCTTTCTTTTGTGGTTGACCTTGGTACATTGCAATATTAAGAGGTCTAAAGTTCTCATCTCCTCCATAGACCTTCACGACTCGGTTCGTATAAGTGTTCAAAACCTTTGCGCCGAGTATTGATCCATATATTATGAAGTGACCCGTCTCGTCAAATATAACATTGGCTTTATTTCGTAGGGTTGGCGTTTCAATTTCGCGTTCTGTAGCAAGTCGGCGGCCGAATTCTAGATCTTCTAACTTCTTTAATGATGTTCCTGCCTGTTGCATTTCCTCGATGACCTGCAGCGATTCATCGTAGGTACGATATAATTTTCCAGTTGGGAAATCAAACACTCGGACTTTGCGATCGGGGAATGAGACAGTCGCGAACTGCGAGCCAGTTGGAGAAATTGTGAGAGAAGTGGGTGTTGATTTCGCCTTCTTGAATTCGAATAAATTAGTGGAAGACTTGTATTCGAAAACATTATCCGGCTTCTCGTAATTTCCTCCTGGTCGCCAGTATTCAATCATACCATTTTCATCTGCTGATATAACACAATTGTAGGCATCGTTGTAGGCCATCAACGAGACAACACTTCGATGTAAGCCGGAAATCGTATGAATTGGTTCCTGGTTCTCTCCACGACCATCGTATATCCGAATCGTATGATTGACCTCGTCAGAGACAGCTAACATTGGAAGGGATGCGCCACGTCCATGCACCCAGCAGACGCATTTCGGTGTGAACTCTAAAGTTAACATTGATAAGAGATCAAAGGTCATCACATCGAATATCTTGATTGTTTTATCTGCGCCAGCTGTCGCAAAGCTTCGTCCATCTGCACTGATAGAAACACTCTTGATCTCTCCAATGTGTGTTCTAAACTCCTTCACAAATTCAATACCGTCGCCTCCTTTCTTCCAGAATTTAACCACTCCATCGACAGAGCTTGTGATTAGGAAGTCCGTCAATGGAGTCATGGTAACGAACGAGATTTGTTCTTTGTGCATCAGAGATTTCGAATACCGCCCAGAGGTTGGTAGAGCTGAGATATAGAGCTTTTCGTAGGGAAGCTTGCGACGCTTCTTTTTGGGAGCTTCCGCAGATGGAAGTTGAGGTCCCATATCATCGTCGGACGAGGATTCTTCATCTTCGACATCGAGCTTGCGTTTATTGGAATTGGAAGCTGAATCGGCCATATTGATGGATTTGAGGTCGTAGATTTGGTAAGTGAAGAATAAAAGTGATATTTGAAGGCCAATAATGGGTTGAAGACATCAAGTTGACGTGAACGAAATAATATCACAAGGCTGAGCCCGGGATATACTAGCGTGTTTTTGCAGTGCAAGGCTGAGTAGCCTCATCTAAGATTCTTGCAGCTACTCCACATAGTAGACGTCATTGTTTTGAATGTTCAATATATATTCGTGGTAACGGGTACCAGTACATACTTTTCCACTACAACTACAAGACTTTCAAGGAATCAACGGCCATGGGTTCTACTTCAGCAGCCAATAAACTCACCTCCCGTCATCCCCTTCAACGTCTTCCCTCTCCCTCTCCGACAGCATCCGCCCTCGTTCATCTCATTGGCCTTGCTTCCTTCTCTCTTTCTTACAAATATCTTTTCGACTTCCCAACATTCATCAACTCTTCCTATGGCTGGCACTTCCAATACCTCACCATCATTGGCCTTACTCTAGCTTTTTTGACATTTGTCTTCGGCTTCCTCGCAGACATCACTCTTTCCCCAAGACTATTCTTGATCAAGAATTCTCTTTCATTATGTTCTGCCCCTCTGGAAGTTTTGATATCTGTGTTGTATTGGGGAATCTCGGCTATTGATAAGAAGCTCTTGGTGCCTCCCGAGATCTATATCAGTCCATATGCTGATATCGGGTTCCACGCTATGCCAGCGATCTTGTTGACTATTGATCTACTGTTCTTGAGTCCGCCATGGACCATCAATGCATTGCCTGCTATGGGACTTTCATCAACCTTGGCCGTTGCATATTGGGCTTGGGTGGAACAATGTTATAAGTACAATGGATTGTGAGTAGTCTATAGCTGAGCGATTTTATCTGACGAAAAATCGAATGCTAATATCAATATTTAGTTACCCATACCCATTATTTGGACATCTTGATACAACACAGAGAGCACTCTTGTTCACCGGAGCTGCCTTGACGATGACTGGTAGTACGGCAGTGCTTAAATGGCTATATGGAAGAGTCAATGGTTTGCAGGGTGCTCAATATAGAAGCAACCCCAACAACATCAAGGGGAAATAAACTTATCTTTATAGGTGATTTTTTTATATAGAAACATAGATACTGATGTATGGATTTGGGTCGTTGCAATTTTCTGTATCGTTCATATTTCTACCCAGTGCTCAGAATTTAGAAGGCTTCTAAAATTTGAACATGTTGATTGATATGACTTCGTTATAAATCTCATATGAGGCACAGCAAGCGATGCGGCACTAACGTGGCTTGCTAAGCTAGCTGAAGTTTCATTTGCAATCTTCAATCATCTACTTCATTCATAGACAGTACCATCTAGTGACAAGTTGTAAAATCTTCAGCTTACCACATTTTAAAGGATGTATCAAGGCCAATCTATGCTATAGCAAAGGAAGTGTCTTGTAAACCATCTCCCCTTCTACTCTTTCCCATCGTTATAAAAATATTGACTTCAATCTAGACTATCTCCGCAAATCTTAAACCACGGCGTATGGTAGTAGGAAAATATCCACATTCGAATTAATATCACAGTTAGAAGTTAAAAGAAAAAGACAAATCTCAAGCCCTTCTTCTCGAAATCTGCACTGGTAGTTTCTATCTAGTTAAGCTCCTACATCCCCAATCCATCACATATCAAAGGTATCATTTGATTCCATAACCAAGATGCGCTTCATACATAACTACATTCTACACACCTTCACTCTTCTTCCTCCCTTTTCTTCAACATACAAAAATTTCCTCCTTTCTTCATACCCGCTCATCTCTCCCTGGATCTTCAAACTCGGAATCTCATCCAACTTCAACATTCGACTCATCATACAAGGTCCAAATCAAAACCTGCTCTTCCTCACAATCACTCCTCCCCTTCTCTCCCGCCCCCTGCCTCTCTCACCAACACCACAACAGCAAACATTCCCGGAAACGAAGAATCCCATCAATTTTATGCCTCCACTATATGATGTCGCCTATTTTCTACATGAAAGGGTGCACATACACACACAATACCAACACAGCAAGAAACCGCAAATCAAATCAAATCAACACAATGAATCATCGACTCTCAAAATTATCATGTCTATCTACCGATCTTTTGCTCATTAATCCTTTCCATCTTTCCCATTTTCCACAATCCCCATGCTCGCTTTTCCATATAAACAATCAACCAGTGATTTATCGCTTACCGTATCATCATACGTAACTTCCAATCCCATGCCTCATTAACATTTTCCACTTCCGTGTTCTTCTTTCCGTTTTGACATTTCATTTATCTATTTCGATAATTGAGAAAAGTCATATTGTGCAGCATCATGATACAAATCGATCAAACATCCTGCACTCCAAGCTTGTGTTGGAGACTACCACAAAATTAGCACAGATCATCTCAACACATATAGGAAATAACATACCGAATCAGGACAATAAGCTCCATCTTTTTGTGTCAATTCCGTCAAACCAGCCCAATCACTATTAACAATAGCTTCTTTACAGCCCGCCAATCTTCTCGTGATTTGTTGGAAAGCTTCAGTCTTAGCCGCTGGAGTCTTTCTTCTCTTAAGATCGAATTTCAACAAAGCTCTTAAGAAGAAACCAGTTGGCCATAACCATTCTGGACCTTGGTGATAGTTTCTTCCTTTTGAAGTTGAGAAATCTTCACTATCCTCGGAGTTGATGTAGTATGGTCGATAATTAAGATCAGCTGGATCAAGAGTTGCCATACCAGTAGGTCCACGAAGTACTTTATCCGCAAGGAATAAGGCATTAAGAGCATGAGCATCGTCAAAGAGGTCTGGGGCAACCGTCATGGCAATTGGGAAATTTGATCGTAGTTGATAATCTTCGTACTCTTTGCCAGATTTGTATAAATCCTTGTAAATACCTCTTCGGTTGACAATAGGAGTATTCACATCATACTTCGAGTCATCTTTAGCGTCCAATGGAACATAGTAACAACGTTCGAAGTTCTCTTTGATCTTGTCGGCCCAGTCTGAGAAAGTGATGACTTGCATGTTTGGATCTGAAGTGCTGACACCAGCATACTTGTACTTGCCTTTCTTGTGAAGCTCGGCTACCCAGCGAAGAGTACTGTATAATAGACCAGTGATCTCAACAGCAGCTCCATCACGAGGTGTACCAGGAACTCCCTTGCTCTTGGCTTTTTCACTCTCTCCCATCTTGTCCATCCAAGTACCACAGTTATGTTGGTTACCACCAAATATCAGACCAGTTGACCAATCAACTTTGATGTCAATATTGAATCCTTCGGAGCTCATTTGCATGTCGAGATTTGGACCGGCATTTGCTTCTCTGAATGACATTCCGGATGCATGACGTTGCAAAGATTCCTGAATGATATCCTCCAAAACTGATGTCTTTGAGTATGCTCTTGGATCATCAGAATCAAAGTAGGTATCATCATAAGGTAAGAATCGTCGAGGCACTTTCTCTTTCAAAAGATCCAATCCATTTGGTACAATGTTGGTATAATCTTGAATGGTTTGTAACATGAACCAGATCGAATCTCGAGAGTTGTAACGTGGCAGGTTACCACTGCTCAACAAGTTAGGTATCATACCATGCTTCAAGACACTTGAGAATGCGAGAATATGCTCTCTTGCTTCAGCATAGCGACCCGTACCAAGGAAGAGACCTCTTGCAGAAATGAATACATCTCTACCCCAACATCTAGCCCACTCGACTGCAAAATGAGGCAAACCGGCTGCTAAAGAAGGTACAGACTTCTTGGGGTACAAAGATGCAGAATTGACATATCCAGTCTGTTGAACGCTGACCATAGCTAAATCTTGTAAGAACCACTGTCCCTCACGGACGTTCTCATTCATCAATGCCAAACTTCGCTCCCAGGCAGCTCGGTAAGCAGTTCGAATGACTAGACCAAAGTAACGGGGAAGCAAAAAGCTTGGCATTTTTCGAATTGCATCGAAACGTTCTTTCAACCAAGCTGTTGGCTTTTGTAGTCGTTCATAACCGGACCTGTTTGACATTTTCTCCAATCTACCGATGATATAGTCAAGTGTCCATTGTCCTTCTCTCAAGTGGTTGCACATGGGATGTCCCAAGTTATTGTCTTTGATGATATTCTTGAGCACACTCCACCAACCTTGTAAACCAGCATATACAAGTTTACCGTGGCCAGGAATGTCGTAAACTCCATCTTTACCCTCACTAGCATCGAGCTCTTCTGCTTCACATTTATAAAGAACGACGTTCAAATCAACCAAGTCCAATTCTGAAAACGCTGCCTTTGCTCCCGAGGTAACAAATGTATCGAGACCAGTTGCGTGCTCAGCAGCAGGTATCCAAGTCTCGAACAATGCAATACTTCCGGGAGGGAATTTGTCTCGGACGGAAATTGTTGTTTCTCCATCTTTGTATTCCATACGGACTCCAGGAAGGTTAGAAACTTTGCTAGGCAATCCTCTTAGATACTTCTTGTCCTCTAATGCCTCCTTCTTTGCTTCTTCAGAAGTGTCGACTTCCAGCATCCAGCTGCCAAGATGGCTCGCCTTAGTGCCTCCAAGATGAACTGGGTTGAAACCTCCATTCCCGTTGCCATAACCAGGGAAAGCAGTATGTGCAATAAGGAAGTATCCCTTTCTAGATTCAGGATGCACTCGATGAACAGTAATATACTGATCTTCGTGATGAATGTATGTTTCTGCGTACCCATCCTTACCCATAATACTATGGATTTGATTGAGAAGCTTCTTAACACCACCGATACCACCTTCGCCAGCTCCAGTCTTGACTTCCTTTTCTGAAGAAGCAGAAGTGTACAATCTGGTTTCATGCACGATTTCGACTAATTTAGGATAAATTTCATCGTAGCCCATGACGCTACCAATGGCACTTGAACACATAGCAACCAATGCAGCATTTGGTAAAGTGTCCCGAGCATCACGCTTTTGAGCTGGAACTTCGTTGTCATGCGTACAATCCATAAAGAGAGCATGAACTGGAGTATATCTGATGGTGCGAATGATTTCTTTACCGGGTATCGATCCATTGGATCTACCATGGGGTGTATTCTGTTCTGCACCTGATACTTCATCGACCTCAAAGCTACCAATAGGTCTACCGCCATGTCGATGAACAAGACGACTGACTTCGCCAGTACTCCATGCCTGCATTGCTTCTCTGATGAGTGAACTTAGACCAAGACGTTTGACGAAAACGTAGTCCATTTCTTCTGACCCGGTGAAAAGTTCAGCAACTACATAAAGATTTGGTCTAATTCTTCTTGCCTCGTCTAGAAGAAATTCAGCTACATGAATAGGTGTAGAGTGTGCATTATCGATACGGAAACCGGTGAAATAATTCGCCATGAGACGTGTGTATTTCGCCATAAAGTCCCACAAGAAGGGACTGTCTTCGCGAGATTCTCCGTAACGCAACTTTACACAGTCACCCCAGACAATAACTTCACGGCGCAAATACGCACGAGATTTGGGACCGGCATTGTCAATAAGTGCATTTGCAGCCCAAATCCAACCATTATTTGCCAAAGCAAGGTCTTCTTGATTGTGCTTGGAGGTAGTGGAATTCTTGGGTAATCTGGTGAAGTAGGATTCAATGAGAGGATTCTTGTCGTCAATTGGACCGAGTTTTGGGCCATTATCGTCAAGACGGACATATTTGGTGCGGTTAAACAGCTGGTCGAGAATCTCAGCAACATCAACGTCGTATTCTTTGTAGTATGGAAGGTTGACTTCGTCCAAGATGTTAGTCAAACGGCTTCGAGCTTCAGCACGATCGGCACCATTCGACTTGTCGCCTTCGAATCTTCCAAACAAGGCTGTGAGCAGTGCTGCACCAACTTCTGGGTTGATCTTCCTTCTGTATCTTTCACCAAGTCTGTCTGTGTTGAGCATTCCTTTTTCTCTCAAGAATGTTGCCTGCTCCGCAACAGAGGCATTCTTGATAGCTTCTAAACCACCAAAACCAGATCCACCGAACCCACCCTCTGGGAATGAAATTTTGTTAGCTGCCCAAGCCTCTACTACTGCATCGGCATCTCTCTCAATCTCGGT